ACTGCCAGTCACTTCTATTTTCTAAGAATACCTAGAGGTTCTAGGAATGTAAGTAAAGGGAAAGCTTCATAATGATGCTTAACTGTACAATTCAGATAATTTTTATTTTATTGTAAATGCATGTAATCCCATTGATTACTATTGAACTCTTTTATTAAAAGAAATAGCTTCTTTTCTCTTTAAGCTAAAAATGTTCTTCAGAAGTTCAGACTAGGTAGATTTGCCTCCACTGCAATCCTTTTTTTTTTAAATCTTAAACATCACCTTATGATTCTAAAACTTCTAAAATTGTTACAGAAAACACTTATAAGCAGGGTAGGAATTTTGGCGGTTTTAAAGCCGTTCTTCATAAAAGTTATTTTTTATTATTTTTCAGATGTACCGACTAACACTACGAACAAGTAAAGAAACAGTCTCACGAAGATTATGCGAATTGTTGTCAGAACAGTTCTGAATCTAAACTCAAGACCAGCTTTGATTCTTTCTTTCTGCCTGTTTTCTTGTCCTGCTCCAGGAATGTCCTGTGCACCAGTGTCTGCATAAATAACTGCCATCACATTCACATTCCTGCCTTAAAGGACCTGTCCCTCTTATGTGAATAAAAGATATGTGTAATGTAAAGTTACCTAAATGTGAAAATATTTCTGGCACAAGGAAGCCAGGAGGCATTGTGTTTGTCACCGCCACTATTTCAGGCATTTTGTCAGAAGTTGGTTTCATGATGACTTACTTTGATTAACAATGATCTAAATGAAAGATGTTTTTCTCCCCCCAGAAATTCCAATGTAAGTTGGAAATAACAGTGTGGTTTCTTCTCCTATTATCCCTGTATTGCCCCAGCAGTAATCAGTAAAGTTCTGTTTGATGAGACTGCAGTAACCATCTTGCTGCTGTACTCTTTGTCAATCTTAGATGGATCAACTTTTGAGAATGCATTCACTTTGTGTGATGGGAATCCAGGACTGTTGTAATGAATCTCACAAGTGTTGCTTTTTCACAATAGGCTATGGGCATTGACCTTGAGTACAGTACATAAGGCATTAGGATATCATTTCCCCCTACCTCAACCAATTTGTTTTAAACAGCTTTAATTCACCCTTTCATTTCCTCCAAATTATGAATTACCAAAGAGTAAATATCTTATCAAACGCTGAAATAAAGAGTCAGAATTATTAGATTCACTATTTCTAGAGAACTCTAGTTAATCCATTGTTCACTTGGATTGTAAATTAAAAAAAAAATCACATGGAGCTACACTAAAAAATTCTCAGAGAATCTGTTTCTATATTCTCTAGCCCTGGCTGTTATTATTGATAGGCAATTTCGATGTAATATTTTTGTTAGCAGATGGGTGGGTCACACAAATACAGACATCTAGTATATTCAGGTCCTAAATAAATCATTAGCTGTTGAAAGTATAATGGCCTGATAATTGCTTTTTTAACATCACAAATTTGGATGCATTATTTTCAAAAAGGCTAGCAATGATATGGTGTACTTGGCATGAGATATGCATTTGTAATATAGTATAGAAATTAAGTCTGACATCCTTTTCAGCAAGTAGAAATAAGTTTCAATCACACTTCTCTAAAAGGATTCCAAAATGGTTATCACAGTCACTCAGTAAAACAAGAAAAAATAAGCAATGGTGTCTCTATTGCAATAAATATCCTTGGGAGTTTAATCAGGTTTTTTTTTTTATATAAGATAAAGTTGCATGTCTGGCTTACAGAACAGTTATCCAGATTCCTCCGAGTACTGACTTACTGTTTTTCTGCAAACTTCTTTACTTAAATTTGTTGGGCTCCACTGAATTAGCACATTTTGTTAAATGAAATGGAATTAATTTGGTGATGTAATAAAACTAGGATACCTTCCAATATTCCCCCTCTCTCTGGAAAAACCCTAAGAGTGGTCATCACAGCGAACAGATTAATGCATCCTCATTTTTCACATGGAACTGGAAGCCATTAAAACAAGGGATAATTAGAAGCTTGTCATATAACATATTAAGAAGGCCTGCCATTTAACTTTTAAAGAGAGATCTGAAGGCATTGAGGTTGCACTTATTTAATACCATGGCAAATACCACAGTGGTTATCACTGTGCAGTTGTGAGCAAATGTGATTTATCCATAAAAAGATGGAAGATTCCAAATCAGCTGTTCATATAATTTGTGCTTCACTAATGAGGAACAGAGAATTGAAGTACTGGTATATACAATTTATCTTTATTGGGAAAAGTTACTTGATTACCAAAGTTATATATTCTCTTTATCAACCAGAAATAATACTTTTTGTGGCTAAAACAGTATTAGTAATCCAAGTGCAGTATTTGTTATTGACATGTGAAAGATTCCTCAACTGGAAGATAAAATGCTGTAAACCTAGGTCTACACTCCGGTATCTATGTATAACCATTTCAGTATATAAAAAGTGAATTTTCAGCTTATATGGTCAACTTTCATTATAAGTGTATGAATCTGAAAATACATAAATCTAATCATGTTACCTTTAGCAGAAAAAATAAATGGCTAGAAGACTAAAATTGTTTCCTCATTCTTGGTTTTAAGAACTTTCAATGCGGCTATTTTTTTAAAAAGTAATCTCTTTTCACAACAAAGTGAAATCACAGCTTCCTGTTCTTTAGCTGGAGTTGGTCTTCATACCCATTGAGTTTTCCCCAAGAACGTAGGATGTTGTAATACATTGGTGTGGTGCATGTGTATCATTATTATGGTTGGTCACAAAGATGTTTAGACTGGATTTCACATTTTGATCCACTTGATCTGGGAAAGGCAGATATTATTTGATGGTGTTAAAAAGTATCATTACAGTATGTAAGCTGTTCTAAGTAAAGCTGCCTTTTGCAATTGACTGATGGTGATTTTGTCAATGCTAATGGTGGTTGTTGAGTCCTCGAGTCAACGGCGAATGAATACAGCACATTCTGCAGTTCCAACAGCTCTTTATTGAAGTCTTTTTCCCTCCGTCACAGCTCTGAGGCTCGCAGGCCTCTCAGACTCCTTTTAACAGCATCCCCGGGCAAAATGGTAACAATTAGGTGTGCTCCATGCCTCGCACATGCGCACGAAGCCAGCACCAGCCAGTCTGGTCCTGGGCAGCTTGCAACTGCCCAGGACCATTGCAACGTCCCGAGCCTGCCTTTGCAGGCTCAGGACACAACAGTGGTGCTTCAGACTCAAGGTGCTATTACTATTGATACTATCTTTGCTTTCTTTTCCCACAATTGTACTATTTCTATTTGTAAGTCTTCATATTTTATAATGTTCTCCAGTTCTTTCTCTTCCCTTTTGCTGTCTTTAGGTATGCCTGCTCTCCAGACTTTTTTTGTCTTATCAAGCATTTTTAAATCTGGGTTTTCATGTGACAGGTGCTTGTTTGTTTGAATTCTGAAGCACTTCAGCTTCTTCATTTTCTATTACAGGTAATCCTCAAGTTATGATGGTAATGGAGTCTGCCCATTATAGTTGCAAGTCATGGTCATTAAACGAGGCACCCCTTGGGGTCCTCACAAGCTTTGGATTGACTCCCCCCCCCAATACTGTTTTTCCTCGGGCTGTTGATCTACTCCCAACCTAGCCACTCAGCCACCCAAGGGAGCTGTAGGCTTGCTCAAAGGCTAGTGGAGCACGAGAAACTGTTGCAGCTTGCAAGACTCAATTTGCTCCTCAGTCAGCTCCAGGACACAGTAACATCTTGTTTACCTTTTAGTTTCTGATAGAGCGGTCCAGTTGATGTGAGGCTCAGCTTTCCTACAGAGGCAGCCTTGTGCCATTCATCATCTGCTCATATATATGCAAAGATGAATAAGTCACTAAACTCTGGTACATATTTCTATTTTTGGAAGCATGCACACTCAGCTTATCACAGTATAGCTCTCATTCATCACAATTGGAACCAGTAACTTGATCGTTCAGCACTGCAATTGTTAAGTGAAACCACAATTATACTTAACGATACTACTTGAATTTTACTTTGTTTCACAGACCTGCAAAGCTCTGCAGGAATTGCAGAGAATTAGCCATAAACTCATTTTTTCATCACAGTCTTAATTGTGAATGGTTGCTAAAGAAGGACTACCTGTTAATTCTTCTTGGAAACTGATCCTGACTCAGAATTCATTTTTTAGAGGAATCCAGACCAAAATTCCTATCATGTTTTACCATATGTTTAATCTGCCCAAATAGGTCCTCTTCAGTAGCTTACCAGGTAGGGAGAAGTAAAAAAAGTTCGTTCTCCCTTATTCTCTGGCTTTACCTGTCATTAATTTCAGCCTCATCCAATGGCAAAGATGCATTGCTTTTTTTTGTTTACAAATTATCTTAATATAACATAATACAGGTCTTGGTCAACCTTGAAAGAAATAAAGTGGGAATTTAGGCTTGGTTTCATAGTGTGAGGAACATGCTAAGAAACTGATTGCTTTCAACTAACTAATGTGAACATAATTTTGTGTATTATTGCTCTTATAGAAAGAACATGACTTATGCCTTCAACTCACATCTTCTGTTTGATTAATGATATTGTTTTAATATGTTCCTATCCAATTGGCTTTCCACAGTATATTCCCATGGGCTGCTTTTGTACATGGACAGTACATGACCTTCCATAATCAAGCTGTTTCTGATAATTTCATCCAGAAATTCCTGCTATGGACTTTTCAAAAATACTCCATTCAATTCAATTCCATTTCAATTATTTTTGGTCCTCTTCTAAAAAAGGTAATATTTGATTTCCACAAATGATACTAAATTCAATTATAGTAGCTGAATATCCTCAATTATTTTAATATGTGTTTGCTTGCAGGGAGGAAAGTGCTGGTTTTTACTTCTGTAAGTCTGCTCTAACGATAGAAGGCTCTGTATCGTGAAAGATTCCATTTTGATAAATACAAAAATGAGCATTTGAAGAATGAATTTGCCATTAGATTATAGGATTAGGAAGATCTCTCAGTTATTCACTATTGGAAACTAAAAAGCCAGCTAATATCTTTATTAAAACAGTCAAATTACTTTACATAAGTAGGTAGACATTAATTTGATGAAAGCCTTATATATAAGGCAAAAATTCATTTCATTTTGCTATCTCCCAAATAATAAATTAACATAATTTGTTATCAGCACTGCTCTTAAAAGAGTAGCTGCCTTCTCAGTGTTTGGACAAATCGATATAAACAAAGGGACTCTAATTCCAGACTTTAGGTATAATGTAAATAGCAACTGATGGTTTAAATATTACTTCATGTTTGATCCTGGTGAATTTGGCTAGTTACACATCCTTCAAATTTGCATACACATTCTCCAAATATAAGGATATGTGTAAAAAGTGGTTCACTTGGGTTATTTGGATTGGGGCATGGCAACTCTATTTCTTTCTTGTAGAAAGTTTTTGGAACGCAGCACTCACATTGTTTTTCTATCCTTGCATTCCTCTGCCTGTGAATAAGAAAAGCCTTATTTTAGATAAGGTATACATGTGTACCAAATTACTTATTTTAAAAATACAGAAATTGTTTTCTTGAATATTGTAAATGTAATAAATGATTAATAATTAACATTAATACTATTGACTAAGTAGCTCAACAGGAAAATAGTTTGATATAGAGCAAATTGTACCACTTTCTGTCCATAAAGACATCTGAAACTTAGGAAATGCATCATGTCAATGAGAATTCTTTACATATATTTATGTAAAAATATGAGGTACGTATGTGTGTTTGTGTATGTGTTTGTATCCCTGTGTAAGAGATGATAGCCCTTTGAAAAACTTCTAAAAATGCCTCTAAAGGTTTTAATCAGTATGAAAGGGAAACATACTTTTAAATTTTTCTGAGTACTGTGTGGAATATCACACCTGCTTACATCACATTCATACTATTTCATTCCAGTGATCCAGCCAGCTTTTTAAACCTAGCGAAACAATATTACACCAAATTACGCTATACCAGGGGTCCCCAATCTCTGGGCCATGGCACACTACCAGTCTATGGCCTACTTGGAAGTGGGCCACACAAGTGGTGGGCCAGTAAGCACAAGTTGAGCTGCCTGTGCATGTGCACAAACCCACCACTTGCGTGGGCCGGTTCCACTCTCTCCCCCTCCCAGCTGGGCCACCAAGCTGCAAAGGTTGGGGACCACTGCACTATACTATAGGTGGTCCTCCTTTAATGACCACTCATTCAGTGACTGTTTGGACTTATGACAGCAATGAATGAGTAGTGCTTATGACTAATTCTTGTACTTAGAGGGCAATCATGATCCAGAAGATCAGCACTTGGCTTGCAGTCATGCCATTGCAGTGTCCTATAGTGATGTAATCACCACTTGCAACCTTCGCTGCTGGCTTCCAACAAGCAAAGTCAATGGGGAAGCTGGCAGGTGGTTGCTAATGGTGATCCTGTGACCTTGCACTTAACAATGTTGTGTGCTTCATGTAATGATGGCCACCAGAAGTGCTGAAACTCTCATCACTAAGCAGTGCAATCTTATGATGTGCTTTATAACAGTATTGTTTAGCAACGGAAAATCCAGTCCAAATTACTGTTGTTAAGTGAAGATTAGCTGTACGTGAAACTACTAAACTACAGGAACTTTAGGAAAGATATGTTCAGATTATAGATAGGGATTAAGCTCTTCTTTTATTGATCTTTCATTATGGATAAGTAAAAATAATCTGCCACCCATATATAAGCTATAACTAGAAAAATAAATTGAAGCATTGTACTAATATGACTTCTAATCAAGTAGTAGGCTTTACGGTTGCTGGAAAGTATGCAATCTTATCCTATTTACCTTGTTGATGATGGACACGTGCCTTCACAGCGGGTTAAAGTAATATTTGCAACACAACTCCCATAAATCACTTGCTCTTCATATTCAACAGGACTACATCTGCCTGTAAAACATTAAAAACAGTATTAATGTAAATGTAACAACTCTGTGTCCCTTTGGCATTAATATTATTTGGACTTATTTTTACTACAAAGAGCTATTGCCCAGAGGGCTAATACACAACACAGCACAGAACATAGTAAGTGCTAGATGTTATTACTATTGATCTTTGATTTCAACAATATATTAATAAATGCAGTTCTTATTGCTAAAGATCACATAACATATTTAACACAATGTTGAAAAACAACATAATTATATGACTTTAGAGAGCTGGTCATAAAATATGAGTGATAGCTTTCTTTGCAAAACTATACTATTTTAGATAAAGGTAAAAGTTTCCCTGTCCAGTCATGTCCGATGCTAGGGGGCAGTTCTCATCTCCATTTCTTAGCCAAGGAGCCAGCGTTGTCCAAAGAAACTTCCATGGTCATGTGGCCAGCATGACTATACACCGAGGTGCATGTAAGGCTGTTACCTTCCCACTAAAATGGTACCTATTTATCTATTTGCATTTGCATGCTTTCAAACTGCTAGATGGGCAGGAGCTGGGGAGGAACAGGAGCTCATCTTGTCACGTGGTAGTTAAGTCTTGAACTTCCAACCTTCCATTCAACAGGCCCAGCATCCTAACCGCTAGGTCATACATGCCCGTACTAATTTATAGGGCAGTAACTTATCTCAGTTCCATATAAATTAGTACTTCTAAGAATTATAAAATAGATGAAAAAGTTCAACTCTACATCTTGTTTTAAAAACACTTTTAATGAGTTGAAATTTGACTACGTAGGTCCAGTTTACTGTATTTTCCTTACAAGCACTATTTAATTGGCCAAAATCAAGTATTAGTTGACTGAAGCCCCAGAAAATAGTCATGGAAACCCAGACATTTACTTGCTTTCAACCAACCTGGGCTTGTTGGGATTGGAACAATGGTTGTAATATTTGGAACAGAAACAAAAGAAAAACAAATCCAAGATTTGAAATTTCACCCAGAGTCACCATACATCACAAATCTTTAGACAAACGTGAAATCACATACTGTCGGTCATCAATCTGCTCATTTTTTTCAAAAGGCCAGTTCTGCTAAATACAACATTATTTTCTTGGGAGAAAGAGCTTGCTTTAGTATATTGATTTATTTATTGGCCCACAATTGAACGCTGGCTCCATTTCATGGAAGATGATCATTCTGTATGAAATATTTTCAAATTATGTAATGTAAAGAGATCTTTGTTTATACGTTGGACATATTCCTTCCCACATGTACCCACCCATTCCCATGGTAGCTTACATATTTGGTTTGGAAAGTTCCTCAGCCACCAGTACAAATTAAGGTGGAAGGATGTACTGATGGGTGGTATCAATTCCTCAAGTAGACTTTGACTTACAGCAGTAATGGACTCCAGAATTTCTGTTGTAAGTCATGACATTTGAGACACCCATGTGACCGGACCTGATTTTATGACTTTTTTTGCAATGATGATGTGAACTCCGCAATACTTAAGCAAACCCATATATTTCTATGGGTACTTCTCTGCCAGAAACCTGCTGAAGACATCAGAAACTGGCAAAAAAATTATAAAATATGATCACATGACTGTGGAACGCTGCAACTGACCATAAATGGAGCTGGTTGACAAACACCAGAAATGTGTTCATGAAACCACAGGGATGTAGGCAGTCATCAGAATTCCAGAATCGGGTAGTTAAGTACTGTAACTTTGGGGCAGTCTATCATAACTTTGAACAGTCATAGGCAACCAGTTATTAAATGAGGATTACAGACATGTAGGGATGAATACAGTGCTATGAAAGTGATTGTTATTTGTTTGCTTAATTTGTTACTTAATCTTTTTTCTATAGCACTTTCTTATGTTAAAGTATCACAATTCATTGCCTTTGCAATTCAGATAAGTGTTTAATAAACATAGTTAGTTTATTTGCTATAAAATATATCAAATACAAATCTGTATTCACTTATTTACATACAATTTATTAATTAATTACATTTGCAGGATTTATAGGTTGCTCCAGTCAGAACCAAAACTCAGTGGATAACCCTTTCATAAGTTGGGATAAAAAGGTAACATAAAACCATGTAATACCTTATAACAAAATCAATACATTTACCTGTTGAAGACCAGAGAACAAAGTACAATCAACAAAACATGGTTAAAAAATTCAATAGATTGAGTAGGGAAAAAACTGAGACCTTCCCAAGTCTTGTTTAAATAGCCAGGTCCTAACAGACTTCTGGTTGATCCTTCAAGATAGATCAGAAAACTCACTCTACAGGAAAACCAGAACTCTACTGAGATTGACTGCCACATGTAACAGAATCTTGCAAATCTGTTGATGCTTCTCTTTCCATCCTTCTTATACCTCAGGAAGTCAGGGAGTCTATTCTTAATATTATTCCTTTCCAGGATTTAAGGATTGTTTCTGTCATCTTTGTTTACCAAACATTTTCAAGGTTGTCTCCCTGGCACTTTGCACCTCCAAAAGGAAGGGAGTCATTTGATAGTTCAAGTTTCTTGGGACATTATAAAACTTTGATAGTATAAAAGCCCAGAGTCATTCACTATGAGATGGGTGGCAAATAAATTCAACAAACAAACAAACAAACAAACAAACACTATGGGAATTATAACCTTCAGCAGTCACCACAGAGGATGTTTTATGAAAGCAACCCACATACATTTTTCTGGAACTTAAACCTAATCTGGACAAATAGTTTCTGAGATGGGAAAGCACTTGTGATGATAAGTAAATTAGGGAAGCTTTTAATTAAGAAAGTGAATGATGAAAAAGTTGTAAAACTGCATTTGCTTCTGTATGCCTGAGTCTCTTGATAAAAAAAGAACAAATAGCCCTGGAGATGCTTTCCAAATCACTGAGCCATGGAGGTGTTGTATGTTATCTCTTTAATTCTTATATTCTTATATTTTCCTTTCCTATCACCAATAGGAATATTACCACCAAATTATGGATAGTATATATTTTGAGGGTGTATAAAGATAAAAAGAATCACTCTTAAGATTAGAAATTGTCTATTTGATTCTCAGGAGTTCCATGTCTGAAGGAGAAGAATGGAGAATCAAGCCCAAGAGACAACTGCAAAATCACAATTTTCCAAATAAAGAAAAAAAGTAGACTTTGCACAGAAGATATAGAAGACAAGCTGCTTATGTTGTCTCCTGCTTTCTTGGATCCTAAAAAATGTAATTGAGCATGTAGCTGATTAAATGCAGAGCCAGCTGAATTACAAGGCTAAGTCATCTGTGCTAGAGTAGGAAATAAATTTATTTCCATACTTAAGTGCTCAGCGAATGTCTCTCAATAGCTGCTAATAATTGAAGCATTGGCTGTGGTATTCAGTGCCAACTTCTCATTATCCTAATGATTTGTCTATTAAATTATTCTACATTTAACATGACAATAGTTTGCAAGCTGCAACTTAAAATCTTTTATAATAAAAAAATAGGTCAGTCTATGATTCCTTAGTATCAGACAAAATACGGCATATGATTTTGCATGTGATTCTGCACGTTACAAAACAATTGTTGCAATGTGCAGAATCAATAGTTCCTTCAACTTTCCCATCAGCTAAAAAATACTTACCGCTAATACTTCTTGAAGTAGTGTAAGGAGCACTTGTAGAAGAAAAAGTAGTAGAAGTGAGAGTGACAGTAGGTGGCTTAGTAGTCAAAGTGGTCTTGGTGGGTGTGGTTACTGGAGTGCTGAAGAAAGTAGAAGTTGCACTTGTTGGCACAGTGGAGATGAAGGATGTGCTTAGACTTATTTTCCAAGTAGTGCTAGGAGACGTTGAACTGGAGATATTAACTGGTCTCGTAGTGGTAAGAGAGGATGTGCTAATTGACGTTGACTCTGTGGAAAAAGAGATTGAAAAGACAGAATTTGAGAGATAAGAAGTTGAGAAAGCTGCCCTCAAGGATGTTGAGAGAGTTGTCTTCCCTCCTGTGGATAAGAAATATCTAAGTTAGAGATACTTTTGTGGGAGAATGAACTATTGCAAATATGGTACCAATAAAACAAGAGGGCAGGAAGGAAAAAATGAGGCATTGAAAAACATATAAAACATTTACAAAATATGGCTGACAAAATTTGCATTAAAGTATTCTGGCATTTGCAATGAACATATTTCTTAAAAACTTTATCAAAATATGCAGAGGACAATGAAGTAAAGAAGGGAAAAGTAGCTTATTCCATTGAAAACAAATGAAATGTAAATTGTACAACAAATCCTACAAAAATGATTTCCTTTTGAATCCCAAATATTGCAAAATAATAAAAGAGAATCCTATGACAATACTTTTATGGCCTTACCAGTAAAGATGGGAATTGACAGTTGCTGTGGCACTCACAGTGAAAAAGAAAGCATGTGATAAAACAGCCACATAAAAATCACAAATTACATGGAACAACATTTTTTTCCCAAATGCTTTGCTTCCTGAAAAACTTTTGGTGATTGTGATTGTGAATTTGGTGATTTATATTTCAAACAGAAATATAAATTCAGAATCACTGTATCATGTGGGAATCTTGAGAAATATGAAATTTCTCAAGCTTAATGTTTCTGACACATTGTATGAATTAATAGGGCCGAAGGTTTCCTACTGCCTATTTTTGTTTTGTTCAATGTCTGATGCATCTCACTGCAGTCTCCAAAAATAGTGAACCAGCACTGATGGATTCTAGTCGCCCTGATGCCGTTTTTGCAATGTGGCAATGCCCTGGGGAAATCTTTCACTATTGTCATTACTGACTACAGTTAGATTTTTGGGAAAGAAGTTCAAATGTGAATGCAAAAAATGAATCATTAGTGACATTTTGTACTTTATGTTCTTGTATACAATAAGAACTTTGTCAACTACAGTAGCTGAATGTACTTTGTGCTCTATAGCGACTAAGGAAATTCTCATCCTTGGATGCTTCCCAGGCAATGTTCTCTAGCCCTACTAACAGATCTTCAAATCGCTTGTCATTGATGACGTATTTGATCTGTGGATTAACAAAAAGGGCTTTTTAAATCCTGGCATCGGTGATTCTTGGAAATATTTATCAAATAACAAAAACCTTCTCCTTTCTTGATCATCACCCTCACAACATTTTCATCAGTCTGAGTTTTAAGTGAAGTGGAGGCAAAAATACCTTTGATGGTCAACAACTGGTTCCTGTGCCACATTTTTCTGTCCTGAACCAAATTCTTTTAGAGTAGCCATTACCTTTTAATACAATGCAACTCTTTTGTACAGCTGTCCTATATGTCACATATGTGACATATGTCACATGTGTCAAGTATGTAACAACATAACTTGGTATATCCAAGCTGCATTCCAAGCAACAGAGCTACTACTTTTAGATTTCTACAGATGGTCCATTTATACTTGGTGTACTGGATGTGCTTTAACAATAATTCCATGTTTTTGTATGTTTCATTCATGTGTACAGCATAGCCAACAGAAACTAAAGACTGTACATTGCCATTGTATAAAAACATAATATTTCTATAAAATGGTACATGATAGGTTAAATTATAGGTTATTTTTGTAAATTAGAAGCCAAAAATCTATAAGATACACCCAAAACTGTTCATGAAGCAAAATCTTTGTTGCCCAGTGTTATTATGGGATAAGGCAAGCTGAAAGAAGGAAGAGAAGTAGGTTCATTGGTGATGAAAATGTCCTGTGAAAGATGAAGTGCTGCTGAAGCCAGCAGCCAAATTAAGCACTGGTGTTCTTGTGAAGCGTTGTGGGCAATGTTGAAGGGAATGGATTCAAGGTTGTTATAGCAGAGAAAGAAGAAATAAATGAATGAAGGAGAAAAGAAAGCAGCCAAGGGTCAGAGGAGAACTGGGTGTGGGCATGGTATCAAAGTTATACTTACTTGAGGCTGTGGGTGTTAAAAGTGCAGAATCAGTTGCTTATCTCATAGTGAAACAGAAGAACATTTGGTTAAAGGAAGAAATGAAGGAAGAAAGAAAGGCAGAGGAAAAATGAATTGAAAGTCAGAAGCACTAAAGGGAAGGAAAGGCAATTAAAAAGGAGCTGAACAGCCTGGGCCTGGAAGATGGATCTACACTTGCTTGGGGGGAGGTGTGTCTTTGATATAGATGCACAAAGGGGAACCCAGAGGACTCACATCTGAGTTGAAGGAGCCAGGCTTCATGTGGTTAGGATGGTGGACAAGAGTTTCAACCCTGTTGAAAGAAGATACCAGAAAAAGGAGGAAAGGGGTATTATGTCTATGCTGTGCAAAGGCATTTGTGAGAGAAAGAGGCCATTAAGAGGCACTGAACATGACAGCACAGCTTATCACTGGTACTATTGATAGCTGTCATGGTTGGTGGTATATGGGCCAGAGTACTGGTGGTTGGCATGGAGATACAGAAGATAACTGGAGGAGTGTTATTGGGCAAAGACATGGAGAGAATGGCATATATAGTAGGAGGCAGAGAGAGGAGAGGGGAGGAGAGGGAGAGGGAGAGGAGAGGAGAGGAGAGAGCTATTAAGGACCTGGGGGAAATTGGGTGAAGGCATGGGAACAAAGAAGCAGATGAGAAACCCAGGAATGCGGTCCTAGGCTTGCTTGTTGAAGGCAAATATAACATGCCCTGAAGAGGAAACCAAAGGACTAAACACCTGAGATATCTGAATGGCAACATTAGAGCAATAGATAAAGTTCAAAAATCAAACAGCACAATTTACCACAGCTGTGGTATGACTTGATTAAGTAGTCCTCAAAGTAGAAAAGGAAAAATCTGAAGAAAATAGTTTAGGGGTGGGGCTGATTGGCAACATTACATATGAAGTAAGGATATACCTAAAGAGGTTTGCCTAGCCTTAGCTTAAAAGGTTATTATGTAGGTTTGTGCGTGAGGAAGGATGGAAGGAAGGAAGGAAGGAAGGAAGGAAGGAAGGAAGGAAGGGAGTGAGTGAGTGAGTAAGGGATGGAGGGAAGGAGGGAAAGAAGGAAGGAAGGAAGGAAGGAAAAAAGGAAGGAAAGAAGGAGGGAGAGGGAGGGAAGGAAGGAAGGAAAGAAAAAAAGGAAGAAAGAAGGGAAGGAGGGGACAAGGGAGAAAGGAAGAAGAGAGAGGAGGGGAGAAGAGAACAGCAAGGTGATATTAAGTGTCAGGGAAGTGCTTCATAAAGGCACGGTATGAAGAAACAGCTGAACAACCCAGGAATGTGGATGTATCTTTGCTTTACGTACACTATTGTATCATGCCTCAAAAGAGACACCAGGAGACATAACAAATGAGATATATGAAGAACCACATTAGAGGAGTATAGTTTATAGAGGAGTATAGTTCAATGAAAATGCCAACTTACCACTTTAGAGGAGTATAGTTCAAATGCCAACTTACCAGGCAGGCAGGCAGGCAGGCAGACGGAAAGGATGGAAGGAAGGATGGAAGGCAACAAGAGTTGCTAAATGAAAATACCAACTTACCACTGGTGCTCTTTGTTGGTGTTGTGGTTGAGGTCGAAGGAGGCTCTGTAGTAGTGGTTAGAGAGGTTGTGGGGATGGTGGAGACAAGAGTACTGCTGAGTATTGGGGTGGTGGGAGTGATAGTTGTAGGCGTGGTAGTGGGGCTTCTGGTGGAAGTGGACGTAGTGGTTGTGAGAGGTGATGTAGAGAGAGGTGGGGTGGTTCTAGAGGTGGTCAATGTAATGGGAGTAGTGGAGCTTTGGGTGGAGATTGTGGTTGTTGGGGTGGTTGTTCTAGTTGGTGTGGATTTGGTGGAAGTCGGGGTGGGCACTGTAACAGTAGACGTTTGTGTTGTGGTGTGTGGCATGGTAGTGGTTGCGGTCTTAGTTGATTCAGTCGTCGTTGAAGTAGAAGAGGGCATACTGGATGATGTCATTTCATGTGTGGAAGCTGCAAGAGAGAAGGAATACAGAGTTGTGGGACTGGAAACTGTTGATGTAAGGATACCCCTAAAGAAGTTTGATTGGCCTTAGTATAAAGGGTTTTACAAACACTGGTGCAGCGGAAAAGACCAATGTAGTTTGAAGTGTCACAGTGGCGGGTAGGCAGGAAGGCAGGAAGGAAGGAATGAAGGAACGAAGGAAGGAAGGAAGGAAGGAAGGAAGGTAGGCAGACAGGAAGGAAGGAAGGAAGGAAGGAAGGAAGGAAGGAAGGAAGGAAGGAAGGAAGGAAGGCAGGCAGGCGGGACGGGATGGGAAAGGGGGCGAGAAGAGGATAGGACAGTGATATTCAACGTCAGGGAAGTGCTTAACAAGCTATCAAGAAGCAGCTTATCAACCAGTGAATGTGGGTGTACTCTCACTTTTTGTGCACTATTTTATCATGCCTCAAACGAAAGACCAGGAGATACAACATGTGAGATGTCTGAAGAGCCATATCAGAGCAATATAGTTGTAGAGTTGCTAAATGAAAATGCCAACTTACCACTGGTGCTCTTTGTTGGTGTTATGGTTGAGGTCGAAGGAGGCTGTGTAGTAGTGGTTAGGGAGGTTGTGGGGGTGGTTGAGACATGAGTACTGCTGGGTATTGAGGTGGTGGGAGTGATAGTTGTAGGTGGGGTGGTGGGGCTTCTGGTGGAAGTGGACGTAGTTGGAGTGACGGTTGATGTTGTAGAGAGAGGTGGGCTGGTTCTAGAAGTGGTCAATGTAATGGGGGTAGTGGAGCTTTGGGTGGAGATTGTGGTTGTTGGGGTGGTTGTGCTGGTTAGTGTGGATTTGGTGGAAGTCGGGGTGGGAACGGTAACAGTAGATGTTTGGGTTGTGGTGTGTGGCAAGGTAGTGGTTGCAGTCTGAGTTGATTCAGTGGTCCTCGAAGTAGAAGAGGGCATACTAGATGATGACATTTCATGCGTGGAAGCTGGAAGAGAGAAGGAATACATGTAGTAGCAGTGAGTTGTGGGACTGGAAACTGTGAGGTAAGGATACCCCTAAAGATTTTTGATTGGCCTTAGTATAAACAGTTTGACAAAGACTGGTGCTGTGGAAAAGACCAATGTAGTTTGTAGTGTCACTGTGGCAGGCAGGCAGGGAGGCAGGCAGACAGGCAGGAAGGAAGGAAGGAAGGTAGGCAGACAGGAAGGATGGAAGGAAGAAAGGAAGGAAGGAAGGAAGGAAGGAAGGAAGGAAGGAAGGAAGGAAGGAGGGACGGGATGGGAGAGGGGGCAAGAAGAGAATAGGACAGTGATATTCAACGGCAGGGAAGTGCTTAACAAGCTATCAAGAAGCAGCTTATCAACCAGTGAATGTGGGTGTACTCTCACTTTTTGTGCACTATTTTATCATACCTCAAAAGAAAGACCAGGAGATACAACACGTGAGATGTCTGAAGGGCCATATCAGAGCAATATAGTTGTAGAGTTGCTAAATGAAAATGCCAACTTACCACTGGTGCTCTTTGTTGGTGTCATGGTTGAAGTCGAAGGAGGCTGTGTAGTAGTGGTTAGGGAGGTTGTGGGGGTGGTTGAGACATGAGTACTGCTGGGTATTGAGGTGGTGGGAGTGATAGTTGTAGGTGTGGTGGTGGGGTTTCTGGTGGAAGTGGACGTAGTTGGAGTGACGGTTGATGTTGTAGAGAGAGCTGGGCTGGTTCTAGAAGTGGTCAATGTAATGGGGGTAGTGGAGCTTTGGGTGGAGATTGTGGTTGCTGGGGTGGTTGTGCTGGTTAGTGTGGATTTGGTGGAAGTTGGGGTGGGAACGGTAACAGTAGACGTTTGTGTTGTGGTGTGTGGCAGGGTAGTGGTTGCAGTCTGAGTTGATTCAGTTGTCCTCGAAGTAGAAGAGGGCATACTAGATGATGACATTTCATGCGTGGAAGCTGGAAGAGAGAAGGAATACAGGTAGTAGCAGTGAGTTGTGGGACTGGAAACTGTGAGGTAAGGATACACCCAAAAGATTTTTGATTGGCCTTAGTATAAAGGGTTTGACAAAGACTGGTGCTGTGGAAAAGACCAATGTAGTTTGTAGTGTCACTGTGGCAGGCAGCCAGGAAGGAAGGAAGGAAGGAAGGTAGGCAGACAGGAAGGATGGAAGGATGGAAGGAAGGAAGGAAGGAAGGAAGGAAGGAAGGAAGGAAGGAAGGAAGGAAGGAAGGAAGGAAGGAAGGAGTGGGACGGGATGGGAGAGGGGGCAAGAAGAGAATAGGACAGTGATATTCAACGGCAGGGAAGTGCTTAATAAGCTATCAAGAAGCAGCTTATCAACCAGTGAATGTGGTTGTACTCTCACTTTTTGTGGACTATTTTATCATACCTCAAAAGAAAGACCAGGAGATACAACACGTGAGATGTCTGAAGGGCCATATCAGAGCAATATAGTTGTAGAGTTGCTAAATGAAAATGCCAACTTACCACTGGTGCTCTTTGTTGGTGTCATGGTTGAGGTCGAAGGAGGCTGTGTAGTAGTGGTTAGGGAGGTTGTGGGGGTGGTTGAGACATGAGTACTGCTGGGTATTGAGGTGGTGGGAGTGATAGTTGTAGGTGTGGTGGTGGGGCTTCTGGTGGAAGTGGACGTAGTTGGAGTGACGGTTGATGTTGTAGAGAGAGGTGGGCTGGTTCTAGAAGTGGTCAATGTAATGGGGGTAGTGGAGCTTTGGGTGGAGATTGTGGTTGTTGGGGTGGTTGTGCTGGTTAGTGTGGATTTGGTGGAAGTTGGGGTGGGAACGGTAACAGTAGACGTTTGTGTTGTGGTGTGTGGCAGGGTAGTGTTTGCAGTCTGAGTTGATTCAGTCATCCTCGAAGTAGAAGAGGGCATACTAGATGATGACATTTCATGCGTGGAAGCTGAAGAGAGAAGGAATACAGGTAGTAGCAGTGAGTTGTGGGACTGGAAACTGTGAGGTAAGGATACACCCAAAAGATTTTTGATTGGCGTTAGTATAAAGGGTTTGACAAAGACTGGTGCTGTGGAAAAGACCAATGTAGTTTGTAGTGTCACTGTGGCAGGCAGGCAGGCAGGCAGACAGCCAGGAAGGAAGGAAGGAAGGAAGGTAGGCAGACAGGAAGGATGGAAGGATGGAAGGAAGGAAGGAAGGAAGGAAGGAAGGAAGGAAGGAAGGAAGGAAGGAAGGTGGGACGGGATGGGAGAGGGGGCAAGAAGAGGATAGGACAGTGATATTCAACGGCAGGGAAGTGCTTAACAAGCTATCAAGAAGCAGCTTATCAACCAGTGAATGTGGGTGTACTCTCACTTTTTGTGCACTATTTTATCATACCTCAAAAGAAAGACCAGGAGATACAACACGTGAGATGTCTGAAGGGCCATATCAGAGCAATATAGTTGTAGAGTTGCTAAATGAAAATGCCAACTTACCACTGGTGCTCTTTGTTGGTGTCATGGTTGAGGTCGAAGGAGGCTGTGTAGTAGTGGTTAGGGGGGTGGTTGAGACATGAGTACTGCTGGGTATTGAGGTGGTGGGAGTGATAGTTGTAGGTGTGGTGGTGGGGCTTCTGGTGGAAGTGGACGTAGTTGGAGTGACGGTTGATGTTGTAGAGAGAGGTGGGCTGGTTCTAGAAGTGGTCAATGTAATGGGGGTAGTGGAGCTTTGGGTGGAGATTGTGGTTGTTGGGGTGGTTGTGCTGGTTAGTGTGGATTTGGTGGAAGTGGGGGTGGGAACAGTAACAGTAGACGTTTGTGTTGTGGTGTGTGGCAGGGTAGTGTTTGCAGTCTGAGTTGATTCAGTCATCCTCGAAGTAGAAGAGGGCATACTAGATGATGACATTTCATGCGTGGAAGCTGAAAGAGAGAAGGAATACAGGTAGTAGCAGTGAGTTGTGGGACTGGAAACTGTGAGGTAAGGATACACCCAAAAGATTTTTGATTGGCGTTAGTATAAAGGGTTTGACAAAGACTGGTGCTGTGGAAAAGACCAATGTAGTTTGTAGTGTCACTGTGGCAGGCAGGCAGGCAGGCAGGCAGACAGCCAGGAAGGAAGGAAGGAAGGAAGGTAGGCAGACAGGAAGGATGGAAGGATGGAAGGAAGGAAGGAAGGAAGGAAGGAAGGAAGGAAGGAAGGAAGGAAGGGGACGGGATGGGAGAGGGGGCAAGAAGAGAATAGGACAGTGATATTCAACGGCAGGGAAGTGCTTAACAAGCTATCAAGAAGCAGCTTATCAACCAGTGAATGTGGGTGTACTCTCACTTTTTGTGCACTATTTTATCATACCTCAAAAGAAAGACCAGGAGATACAACACGTGAGATGTCTGAAGGGCCATATCAGAGCAATATAGTTGTAGAGTTGCTAAATGAAAATGCCAACTTACCACTGGTGCTCTTTGTTGGTGTCATGGTTGAAGTCGAAGGAGGCTGTGTAGTAGTGGTTAGGGAGGTTGTGGGGGTGGTTGAGACATGAGTACTGCTGGGTATTGAGGTGGTGGGAGTGATAGTTGTAGGTGTGGTGGTGGGGCTTCTGGTGGAAGTGGACGTAGTTGGAGTGACGGTTGATGTTGTAGAGAGAGGTGGGCTGGTTCTAGAAGTGGTCAATGTAATGGGGGTAGTGGAGCTTTGGGTGGAGATTGTGGTTGTTGGGGTGGTTGTGCTGGTTAGTGTGGATTTGGTGGAAGTTGGGGTGGGAACGGTAACAGTAGACGTTTGTGTTGTGGTGTGTGGCAGGGTAGTGGTTGCAGTCTGAGTTGATTCAGTCATCCTCGAAGTAGAAGAGGGCATACTAGATGATGACATTTCATGCGTGGAAGCTGGAAGAGAGAAGGAATACAGGTAGTAGCAGTGAGTTGTGGGACTGGAAACTGTGAGGTAAGGATACACCCAAAAGATTTTTGATTGGCCTTAGTATAAAGGGTTTGACAAAGACTGGTGCTGTGGAAAAGACCAATGTAGTTTGTAGTGTCACTGTGGCAGGCAGGCAGGCAGGCAGACAGCCAGGAAGGAAGGAAGGTAGGCAGACAGGAAGGATGGAAGGATGGAAGGAAGGAAGGAAGGAAGGAAGGAAGGAAGGAAGGAAGGAAGGAAGGAAGGTGGGACGGGATGGGAGAGGGGGCAAGAAGAGAATAGGACAGTGATATTCAACGGCAGGGAAGTGCTTAATAAGCTATCAAGAAGCAGCTTATCAACCAGTGAATGTGGTTGTACTCTCACTTTTTGTGGACTATTTTATCATACCTCAAAAGAAAGACCAGGAGATACAACACGTGAGATGTCTGAAGGGCCATATCAGAGCAATATAGTTGTAGAGTTGCTAAATGAAAATGCCAACTTACCACTGGTGCTCTTTGTTGGTGTCATGGTTGAGGTCGAAGGAGGCTGTGTAGTAGTGGTTAGGGAGGTTGTGGGGGTGGTTGAGACATGAGTACTGCTGGGTATTGAGGTGGTGGGAGTGATAGTTGTAGGTGTGGTGGTGGGGCTTCTGGTGGAAGTGGACGTAGTTGGAGTGACGGTTGATGTTGTAGAGAGAGGTGGGCTGGTTCTAGAAGTGGTCAATGTAATGGGGGTAGTGGAGCTTTGGGTGGAAATTGTGGTTGTTGGGGTGGTTGTGCTGGTTAGTGTGGATTTGGTGGAAGTTGGGGTGGGAACGGTAACAGTAGACGTTTGTGTTGTGGTGTGTGGCAGGGTAGTGGTTGCAGTCTGAGTTGATTCAGTCGTCCTCGAAGTAGAAGAAGGCATACTAGATGATGACATTTCATGCGTGGAAGCTGGAAGAGAGAAGGAATACAGGTAGTAGCAGTGAGTTGTGGGACTGGAAACTGTGAGGTAAGGATACACCCAAAAGATTTTTGATTGGCCTTAGTATAAAGGGTTTGACAAAGACTGGTGCTGTGGAAAAGACCAATGTAGTTTGTAGTGTCACTGTGGCAGGCAGGCAGGCAGGCAGGCAGACAGCCAGGAAGGAAGGAAGGAAGGAAGGAAGGAAGGTAGGCAGACAGGAAGGATGGAAGGATGGAAGGAAGGAAGGAAGGAAGGAAGGAAGGAAGGAAGGAAGGAAGGAAGGAAGGAAGGAAGGAAGGAAGGAAGGTGGGACGGGATGGGAGAGGGGGCAAGAAGAGGATAGGACAGTGATATTCAACGGCAGGGAAGTGCTTAACAAGCTATCAAGAAGCAGCTTATCAACCAGTGAATGTGGGTGTACTCTCACTTTTTGTGCACTATTTTATCATGCCTCAAAAGAAAGACCAGGAGATACAACACGTGAGATGTCTGAAGGGCCATATCAGAGCAATATAGTTGTAGAGTTGCTAAATGAAAATGCCTACTTACCACTGGTGCTCTTTGTTGGTGTCATGGTTGAGGTCGAAGGAGGCTGTGTAGTAGTGGTTAGGGAGGTTGTGGGGGTGGTTGAGACATGAGTACTGCTGGGTATTGAGGTGGTGGGAGTGATAGTTGTAGGTGTGGTGGTGGGGCTTCTGGTGGAAGTGGACGTAGTTGGAGTGACGGTTGATGTTGTAGAGAGAGGTGGGCTGGTTCTAGAAGTGGTCAATGTAATGGGGGTAGTGGAGCTTTGGGTGGAAATTGTGGTTGTTGGGGTGGTTGTGCTGGTTAGTGTGGATTTGGTGGAAGTTGGGGTGGGAACGGTAACAGTAGACGTTTGTGTTGTGGTGTGTGGCAGGGTAGTGGTTGCAGTCTGAGTTGATTCCGTCATCCTCGAAGTAGAAGAGGGCATACTAGATGATGACATTTCATGCGTGGAAGCTGGAAGAGAGAAGGAATACAGGTAGTAGCAGTGAGTTGTGGGACTGGAAACTGTGAGGTAAGGATACACCCAAAAGATTTTTGATTGGCCTTAGTATAAAGGGTTTGACAAAGACTGGTGCTGTGGAAAAGACCAATGTAGTTTGTAGTGTCACTGTGGCAGGCAGGCAGGGAGGCAGGCAGACAGCCAGGAAGGAAGGAAGGAAGATAGGTAGGCAGACAGGAAGGATGGAAGGATGGAAGGAAGGAAGGAAGGAAGGAAGGAAGGAAGGAAGGAAGGAAGGAAGGAAGGAAGGAAGGAAGGAAGGAAGGTGGGACGGGATGGGAGACGGGGCAAGAAGAGAATAGGACAGTGATATTCAATGGCAGGGAAGTGCTTAACAAGCTATCAAGAAGCAGCTTATCAACCAGTGAATGTGGGTGTACTCTCACTTTTTGTGCACTATTTTATCATGCCTCAAAAGAAAGACCAAGAGATACAACACGTGAGATGTCTGAAGGGCCATATCAGAGCAATATAGTTGTAGAGTTGCTAAATGAAAATGCCTACTTACCACTGGTGCTCTTTGTTGGTGTCATGGTTGAGGTCGAAGGAGGCTGTGTAGTAGTGGTTAGGGAGGTTGTGGGGGTGGTTGAGACATGAGTACTGCTGGGTATTGAGGTGGTGGGAGTGATAGTTGTAGGTGTGGTGGTGGGGCTTCTGGTGGAAGTGGACGTAGTTGGAGTGACGGTTGATGTTGTAGAGAGAGGTGGGCTGGTTCTAGAAGTGGTCAATGTAATGGGGGTAGTGGAGCTTTGGGTGGAGATTGTGGTTGTTGGGGTGGTTGTGCTGGTTAGTGTGGATTTGGTGGAAGTTGGGGTGGGAACGGTAACAGTAGACGTTTGTGTTGTGGTGTGGGGTATGGAAGTGGTTGCGGTCTTAGTTGATTCAGTCGTCCTCAAAGTAGAAGAGGGCATACTGGATGATGTCATTTCATGTGTGGAAGCTGCAAGAGAGAAGGAATACAGATAGTAGCAGTGAGTTGTGGGACTGGAAACTGTTGATGTAAGGATACCCCTAAAGAAGTTTGATTGGCCTTAGTATAAAGGGTTTTACGAAGAGTGATGCTGTGGTAAAGACCAATGTGGTTTGTAGTATCACTATGGCAGGCAGGCAGGCAGGCAGGCAGGCAGGAAGAAAGGAAAGATGAAAGGACAGAAGGAAGGAAGGATGGAAGGAAAGAAGGAAAGAAGGAAGGAAGGAAGGAAGGAAGGAAGGAAGGAAGGAAGGAAGGAAGGAAGGAGGGATGGATGGGAAAGGGGGTGAGAAGAGGATAGGACAGTGATATTAAACATCAGGGAAGTGCTTAACAAGCTATCAAGAAGCAGCTTATCAACCAATGAATGTGGGTGTACTCTCACTTTTTGTGCACTATTTTATCATGCCTCAAACAAAAGACCAGGAGATACAACACATGAGATGTCTGAAGTGCCATATCAGACTAATATAGTTGTAGAGTAGCTAAATGAAAATGCCAACTTACCACTGGTGCTTTTTGTTGGTGTTGTGATTGAGGTTGAAGGAGGTTCTGTAGTAGTGGTTAGGGAGGTTTTGGGGGTGGTTGAGACAAGAGTACTGCTGGGTATTGAGGTGGTGGGAGTGATAGTTGTAGGCGTGGTGGTGGGGCTTCTGGTGAAAGTTGACGTAGTGGGAGTGACGGTTGATGTTGTAGAGCGAGGTGGGCTGGTTCTAGAAGTGGTCAATGTAATGGGAGTAGTGGAGCTTTGGGTGGAGATTGTGGTTGTTGGGGTGGTTGTGGTAATTGGTGTGGATTTGGTGGAAGTCGGGGTGGGCATTGTAACAGTAGACGTTTGTGTTGTGGTGTGTGGCATGGTAGTGGTTGCGGTCTTAGTTGATTCAGTTGTCCTCGAAGTAGAAGAGGGCATACTGGATGATGTCATTTCATGTGTGGAAGCTGCAAGAGAGAAGAAATACAGATAGTAGCAGTGAGTTGTGGGACTGGAAACTGTTGATGTAAGGATACCCCTAAAGAAGTTTGATTGGCCTTAGTATAAAGGGTTTTACGAAGAGTGATGTTGTGGTAAAGACCAATGTGGTTTGTAGTATCACTATGGCAGGCAGGCAGGCATGCAGGCAGGCAGGCAGGCAGGAAGGCAGGAAGGAAGGATAGAAGGAAAGAAGGAAGGAAGGAGGAAGGAAGGAAGGAAGGAAGGAAGGAAGGAAGGAAGGAAGGAAGGAAGGTGGGATGGATGGATGGGAAAGGGGGCGAGAAGAGGATAGGACAGTGATATTAAACGTCAGGGAAGTGCTTAACAAGCTATCAAGAAGCAGCTTATCAACCAGTGAATGTGGGTGTACTCTCACTTTTTGTGCACTATTTTATCATGCCTCAAACAAAAGACCAGGAGATACAACACGTGAGATGTCTGAAGGGCCATGTCAGAGCAATATAGTTGTAGAGTTGCTAAATGAAAATGCCAACTTACCACTGGTGCTTTTTGTTGGTGTTGTCATTGAGGTTGAAGAAGGTTCTGTAGTAGTGGTTAGGGAGGTTTTGGGGGTGGTTGAGACAAGAGTACTGCTGGGTATTGAGGTGGTGGGAGTGATAGTTGTAGGTGTGGTGGTGGGGCTTCTGGTGGAAGTTGACGTAGTGAGAGTGACGGTTGATGTTGTAGAGCGAGGTGGGCTGGTTCTAGAAGTGGTCAATGTAATGGGAGTAGTGGAGCTTTGGGTGGAGATTGTGGTTGTTGGGGTGGTTGTGCTAATTGGTGTGGATTTGGTGGAAGTCGGGGTGGGCATTGTAACAGTAGACGTTTGTGTTGTGGTGTGTGGCATGGTAGTGGTTGCGGTCTTAGTTGATTCAGTTGTCCTCGAAGTAGAAGAGGGCATACTGGATGATGTCATTTCATGTGTGGAAGCTGCAAGAGAGAAGAAATACAGATAGTAGCGGTGAGTTGTGGGACTGGAAACTGTTGATGTAAGGATACCCCTAAATAAGTTTGATTGGCCTTAGTATAAAGGGTTTTATGAAGAATGATGTTGTGGTAAAGACCAATGTAATTTGTAGTATCACTATGGCAGGCAGGCAGGCAGGAAGGCAGGAAGGAAGGATGGAAGGAAAGAAGGAAAGAAGGAAGGAAGGAGGAAGGAGGGAAGGAAGGAAGGAAGGAAGGAAGGAAGGAAGGAAGGAAGGAAGGAAGGAAGGAAGGTGGGATGGATGGATGGGAAAGGGGGCGAGAAGAGGATAGGACAGTGATATTCAACGTCAGGGAAGTGCTTAACAAGCTATCAGGAAGCAGCTTATCAACCAGTGAATGTGGGTGTACTCTCACTTTTTGTGCACTATTTTATCATACCTCAAAAGAAAGACCAGGAGATACAACACGTGAGATGTCTGAAGGGCCATATCAGAGCAATATAGTTGTAGAGTTGCTAAATGAAAATGCCAACTTACCACTGGTGCTTTTTGTTGGTGTTGTCATTGAGGTTGAAGGAGGTTCTGTAGTAGTGGTTAGGGAGGTTTTGGGGGTGGTTGAGACATGAGTACTGCTGGGTATTGAGGTGGTGGGAGTGATAGTTGTAGGCGTGGTGGTGGGGCTTCTGGTGGAAGTTGACGTAGTGGGAGTGACGGTTGATGTTGTAGAACGAGGTGGGCTGGTTCTAGAAGTGGTCAATGTAATGGCAGTAGTGGAGCTTTGGGTGGAGATTGTGGTTGTTGGGGTAGTTGTGCTAATTGGTGTGGATTTGGTGGAAGTCGGGGTGGGCATTGTAACAGTAGACGTTTGTGTTGTGGTATGTGGTATGGTAGTGGTTGCGGTCTTAGTTGATTCAGTCATCGTCGAAGTAGAAGAGGGCATACTGGATGATGTCATTTCATGTGTGGAAACTGCAGGAGAGAAGAAAAACAGATAGTAGCAGTGAGTTGTGGGACTGGAAACTGTTGATGTAAGGATACCCCTAAATAAGTTTGATTGGCCTTAGTATAAAGGGTTTTATGAAGAATGATGTTGTGGTAAAGACCAATGTAATTTGTAGTATCACTATGGCAGGCAGGCAGGCAGGAAGGCAGGAAGGAAGGATGGAAGGAAAGAAGGAAGGAAGGAGGAAGGAGGAGAAGGAAGGAAGGAAGGAAGGAAGGAAGGAAGGAAGGAAGGAAGGAAGGAAGGAAGGAAGGTGGGATGGATGGATGGGAAAGGGGGCGAGAAGAGGATAGGACAGTGATATTCAACGTCAGGGAAGTGCTTAACAAGCTATCAGGAAGCAGCTTATCAACCAGTGAATGTGGGTGTACTCTCACTTTTTGTGCACTATTTTATCATACCTCAAAAGAAAGACCAGGAGATACAACACGTGAGATGTCTGAAGGGCCATATCAGAGCAATATAGTTGTAGAGTTGCTAAATGAAAATGCCAACTTACCACTGGTGCTTTTTGTTGGTGTTGTCATTGAGGTTGAAGGAGGTTCTGTAGTAGTGGTTAGGGAGGTTTTGGGGGTGGTTGAGACATGAGTACTGCTGGGTATTGAGGTGGTGGGAGTGATAGTTGTAGGCGTGGTGGTGGGGCTTCTGGTGGAAGTTGACGTAGTGGGAGTGACGGTTGATGTTGTAGAACGAGGTGGGCTGGTTCTAGAAGTGGTCAATGTAATGGCAGTAGTGGAGCTTTGGGTGGAGATTGTGGTTGTTGGGGTAGTTGTGCTAATTGGTGTGGATTTGGTGGAAGTCGGGGTGGGCATTGTAACAGTAGACGTTTGTGTTGTGGTATGTGGTATGGTAGTGGTTGCGGTCTTAGTTGATTCAGTCATCGTCGAAGTAGAAGAGGGCATACTGGATGATGTCATTTCATGTGTGGAAACTGCAGGAGAGAAGAAAAACAGATAGTAGCAGTGAGTTGTGGGACTGGAAACTGTTGATGTAAGGATACCCCTAAAGAAGTTTGATTGGCCTTAGTATAAAGGGTTTTACGAAGAGTGATGCTGTGGTAAAGACCAATGTGGTTTGTAGTATCACTATGGCAGGCAGGCAGGCAGGCAAGAAGGCAGGAAGGAAGGATGGAAGGAAAGAAGGAAAGAAGGAAAGAAGGAAGGAAGGAAGGAAGGAAGGAAGGAAGGAAGGAAGGAAGGAAGGAAGGAAAGTGGGATGGGATGGGAGAGGGGGCAAGAAGAGGATAGGACAGTGATATTCAACGTCAGGGAAGTGCTTAACAAGCTATCAAGAAGCAGCTTATCAACCAGTGAATGTGGGTGTACTCTCACTTTTTGTGCACTATTTTATCATGCCTCAAAAGAAAGACCAGGAGATATAACACGTGAGATGTCTGAAGGGCCATATTAGAGCAATATAGTTGTAGAGTTGCTAAATGAAAATGCCAACTTACCACTGGTGCTCTTTGTTGGTGTCATGGTTGAGGTCGAAGGAGGCTGTGTAGTAGTGGTTAGGGAGGTTGTGGGGGTGGTTGAGACATGAGTACTGCTGGGTATTGAGGTGGTGGGAGTGATAGTTGTAGGTGTGGTGGTGGGGCTTCTGGTGGAAGTGGACCTAGTGGGAGTGACGGTTGATGTTGTAGAGAGAGGTGTGCTGGTTCTAGAGGTGGTCAATGTAATGGGGGCAGTGGAGCTTTGGGTGGAGATTGTGGTTGTTGGGGTGGTTATGCTAGTTGGTGTGGATTTGGTGGAAGTTGTGGGCACGGTAATAGTAGAAGTTTGTGTTGTGGTTTGTGGCATGGTAGTGGTTGCAGTCTGTGTTGATTTAGTCGTACTCGAAGTAGAAGAGGTCATACTGGATGATGATATTTCATGTGTGGAAGCTGGAAGAGAGAAGAAATACAGGTATTAGCAGTCAGTTGTGGGACTGGAATCTGTCGTGGTAATTATATCCCTAAAGATGTTTGTCTGCCATAGGTATAAAGAGTGTTACATAGATTGGTGCTTTGGAAAATGCCAGTGTTGTTTGTAGTGTCAATGTGGCAGGATGGAAAGAAGGAAGGAAGGAAGGAAGGAAGGAAGGAAGGAAGGAAGGAAGGAAGGAAGGAAGGAAGGAAGGAAAGGCAGAAGGAAGGAAGGAAGTGAGATGGGAGGGAGGAAGAAAGGGAATGAGAGAGGGTATAAGAGGAAGGTTTGTAGTGTCACTGTGGCAGGCAGGCAAGAAGGAAGGAAGGAAGGAAGGAAGGAAGGAAGGAAGGAAGGAAGGAAGGAAGGAAGAAAGGAGGGACAGGATAAGTGGGCAGTCAAGAAGAGTAAAGGTGAATGATATTAAATGTCAGGAGAGGGTGGGAGGGAAGGAAGTAAGGAGGGAAGGAACAAAGGAAGAAGGAAGGAAGGAAGAAGGAATGAATGAACAAAGGAGGAAGGAAGGAAGGAAAGAAACAAAAAAGGAAAGAAGGAAGGGAGGGAGGGAGGAAGGAAGGAAGGAAGGAAAAAAGGAAGGAAGGAAGGAAGAGGATGAGAGAGTGTGTGAGAGGAAGATAGGTCAGTGATATTAAACGCCAGGGAAGTGCCCTAAGAAAGTATTAAGAAGCAGCTGACCAACAAGTGAATGTTTTACTTAGATTGGTGGTGTGGAAAATGCCAATGTGGTTTCTAATTTCACTGTGGCAAGAGGGAATGAATGAACAAATAATGAATATGAGGGAGGGAGAGAGGGCAGAGGGAGGGGATGAGAGGGAAGAAAGAAAGAACGAAAGAACGAAAGAACGAAAGAAAGAAAGAAAGAAAGAAAGAAAGAAAGAAAGAAAGAAAGAAAGAAAGAAAGAAAGAAAGAGTGGATTTTGGTTTTGCACAGTAGTGGAGCAGCTGGGGGATCGCAGGGCTTCATATGCCACAGCTGATTTCTGCCTGGTAAGGGACTCTAAATGGGCCTGAAGTTGCCTTATAGAGGGAACAAAGAAGGAAGGAAGTCCCACTGATTGCAGAGTGATGGCGGTCGATCCGATCGGTCCAGGAAAATCCCTCCAGAAAACAGCAGGAGAAAGGCTAGCTTAACTTCAGTGTCTAGCCCAAGCTACAAGCAGCCAAAGCCAAAAGCACTACTTTAAGCTGACTGTAAACAACATGTTTAGAACTGAGTAAGAACAGTGATTTTCTCTCTTCCACTTGAAAATTGATTTCATGGGGAAAAAAAGGAAAAAAAAACCCCCAAGAAGCAAAAAGCCTTTGAAAGTGAGAAGGATGGGATCTGCCATCCTGCAGATGGAAGCGGCAAATTAAACTTTTCCAGAGGTACAGAAATATATTGAAATTAAATGAATATAACTTAATTTGGATAAGTTTGAAATCAGTGAAAACTGTTAAGATTTTCCTTTTAAACCATGAAAATAGAAGTAAATAATGGAAGTAAACAATTGTCTATTTCTGAAAAATGAACTGGTGCTGACATCTAGTGGTGGATGAAAATATACAACAGCAGTTGCTCTATCAGAGGAGCTGGTAAAGCCCAGCTGTGACAAAAAGAAAAAAAAAACATTTGGGGCAATTTATAAAGTGAGAATTATAAACTTTCGAAAAAAATATTTGACCTTTCTGGATTACAAATACCAACTCAACTGTGACTCTAAAGCTGTCTATAGAGAAAGGAAAACCCTGATGTTTGGCTATCATGGAAAACCAGAGATCTGCAGAAAGAATATATCAAGAAAAAACAAATACTTTCCAGAAGGAGATCTATGCTATGTTGCAACAAATCCAAACAACAATGATCTCAAACCACAAGGAAATTAAAAATAACTTTGAAAATATAAATCAACACATCTCCAATTTAACTTTACAACACTATGAGAACTTCAGAGACAAAAAAATGATAAATAAAATCAAGAAAGAAAGAAAGGAAAAGATACTTAATGAATATGAAGGGGTGAAAACTTCCTATAAAAACATTTTACCTGTTTTGCCTTTTGTACCTGAAACAACACTTACAAGATTATGGGAAGATTCTTTGGCCCCCCCCAAAAAAAAGGCTAAAGTGAGAATTAAGAAATTAGATGATGGGATTCACCAGAGGGAATATTTAAAAATTAAACATCTGTTTGAATATAGTTAAAGAAATAGAAAGATTTTGGATATAAATGAAGATTAGTTTAAAAGGGATGAACCCTTCAAGTAATACAGTATTTTTTCTTTCTTTTTTCTTTTGTGTTTTGTTTTTTGACATGAGACATATAAAAGGTTGGGATGGCTTAAATAAAAGAAATATTTTCTTTCTTTTTTTCCTTTTTTTAAAGATATGAGAAATGTAAAAGTGTTGGGATGGCTTGTATGAGAAAAAAGACTTAAATATTTAAGTGTAACTAATTTTGAGAAAATCTTAACTAGTAAGAATGCTTTGAATATTGTGGGGAAAACAAATTTAAATAAGAATTTTGTAAACAGGATCTATGACGAGGCAATCAAGATGATCAATTAGAAAAGAAGCTTTATATTGGTGTGGTTATTATTTGCAGAAACATGAGAAAAATGTCTCTATTTAATTGTCATTTATTCAAATAATAAGAAGTATTAATTTAAGATTGGCAAAAGAGAATATTATTGGAAGAAGAGAAAATCAAGCAAAGCCAATTATTTGGACTATAGAATTATAGAAATTGTTATTGATTGTTTTGTAAATACTAACCCAGACAACATGCTGTTTACCAAATATTAAGATGATTATGTTAAAAATCAATAAAACATATTAGAAAGAAAGAAAGAAAGAAAAAGAAAGAAAGAAAAAAGAGGGAGGGAGGGAGGGGATGAGAGAGGGGGTTGAGAAGAGGATAGATGAGTGATATTAAATGTCAGGGAAGTGCCGTTAGAAGGTATCAAGCTGACCAATGAGTGAATGTGGGTGTACCCTCACTTTTTGTCCACTATTATATCATGCCTCAAAAGAGAGACCAGAAGACACAACACATGAAATGTCTGAAGGACATTAGAGCAATATAGTTGTAGAGTTGCTAAATGAAAATGCCAACTTACCACTGGTGCTCTTTATTGGTGTCATCACTGAGGTCGAATGAGGCTCTGTACTAGTGGTTAGGGAGGTTGTGGGGCTGGTGAAGACTCGAGTACTGCTGGGTATTGAGGTGGTGGGAGTGGTAATTGCAGGCGTGGTGGCAGGGCTTTTGGTGGAAGTGGAAGTTGTGGGAGTGACAGTTGACGTTGTGGGGAGAGGTGGGCTGGTTCTAGAGGTAGTCATTGTGATGGGGGTGGTGGAGCTTTGTGTGGAGGTTGGGATGGTTGTGCTACTTGGTGTGGATTTGGTGGAAGTCGGGGTGGGCACGGTGACAGGAGAAGTTTGTGTTGTGGTGTGCGGCATGGTAGTGGTTGTGGTCTGAGTTGATTTAGTCGTCCTCGAAGTAGAAGAGGGCATACTGGATGATGACATTTCATGCGTGGAACCTGCAAGAGAGAAATAACAATGAAGGATGTAATCAATGTTACATTACAGGGGGGAAGGAATATTCCCAACATGGTCGGAAGCTAATATCGTGTTACTTCCGAAGGAGGGTCAGGATGCCATGATGATAAAAAAAAACTACAGACCAATCTCATTATTAAATAAGGGTTATAAACTATTTGCTGCGATTTTGGCAGAAAGACTAAAAAAGTTTTACAGGTATAAATTCATGATGACCAAGCTGGCTTTCTGCCAAAAAAACAGCTAAGAAATAATATGGGAATGGTTTTGAATATTATTGAAAACTTACAATGAACAACAGGCAGCTTTAATATTCCTACATACTGAGAAGGCCTTTGACAACTTAAATTGAATGGTTATGTTTAAAGTTCTGCCAGAAATGGAATTTGCAGGGAATTTTATTCAAGGGATCAAAGCTATTTATACATTACAGCAAGCAAAAGTTGTTATTAATGGCGATGTAACTAACTCATGTGAAATCTGAAAGGGTACAAGACAATGATGTCCACTGTCTCCACTGTTGTTTATCTTGGTGTTGGATGTCCTGAATAGAGATATCAGGCAATATGAGAAAATAAAAGGTATAAATGTTAAGAAGGAAGTTTATAAATTGAGGGCCTTTGCTGATGATTTGATGATATTTCTGCAAAACCCAAAAAATAATATAGAACACTTGATGAGGAAAGTAAATGAGTTTGGGTCCTTGGCCGGTTTTAAAATTAATAAAACAGAAAACATCAATGTTGATTAAGAATATGACCACACAGGATGGTGATATATTGAGTAAAAAGTCTGCTTTCAGGGTTGAGAAAAAGATGAAATATTTCGGGGTTACGTTATCTAATTCAAATACAAACTTTTTCAAAAATAACTATGTGCCACTCTGGAATGGTATCAAAAAAGGTTTATTAAGATGGGACAAATTGCATTTATCATTACTGGGTAAAATTTCCATGATTAAGATGAATGTTTTACCAAAGATGCTCTTCCTGTTTCAAACATTACCAATATTTGCAACTGAAACTCCATTTAAACAATGGCAGAGGGATATCTCTAAGTTTATATGGCAGGGGGAAAAAACCAAGAATTAGATATAAATTATTGAAAGATGCTAAGGAAAGAGGGGGGTTGGGTTTACCTGATTTGAAACTGTATTTTGTTGCTTGTTTGGTTTGGCTAAAAGAATCGGTGAACCTTCAGAATAAGAGGTTACTGGACCTAGAAGGCCATTAATTAAGGTTTGGTTGGCATGGCTATCTGTGGTATGACAAAGTTAAAGTAAATGTTGCTTTTAATAATCATTTTACCAGGCGTGCCATTTTGAGAATTTGGAATAAATATAAAACAAGGTTCTCTATGAAGGTGCCACTTTGAGTTTCCCCACAAGAAGCCTTTTTTTAGAAAAGAGATGGCGATGAGGCCAGTTTGGTAGCCTTATGATAAAATAATATCTTTTAATTTAGTTGAGTCTACCCTCAAATCCAAGGAGGAGCTAGAATCAGAAGATCATGTCTGCCATTAGTTTACATATATGCAATTGAAAGAAAGATTCAAGTTAGGTAAAAAGTATCATGGGTTTAATTTGTAAAATGAATTGAAAAACCTACTGTGCAGTAGTGATGAACATAGTATTGCTAAAGTTTATAAAATGGTATTGAATTTAAATCTGGAAAATGAGCAAGTAAAACACTGTATGATTCAACGGGCAAGGAATTTTGAGTATAATGCTTGAACAATGGGAAAATATGTGGAATAAAGGATTAAAATTTACATTAAATTATAATCTAAAAGAAAATTTTTACAAGATGATGTGTCAGACAAGTTATCAAAAATGTATAAAGGTATTTCAAATAAATGTTGGAAATGTAAAAGTAAAGAGGGGACTTTTTACCATTTATGGTGGATGTGTGATAAAGCAAGAAAATAGGATTCATATGTTAATACAGAAAATTTTTAAAGTAAATATAGAAAGAAAACCAGAGACTTTTCTCTTGGGGCTAATGGACAAAGACCTGGAAAAAATATGTGGAACTTTGATGTTATATATGTTGACAGCAGCAAGATTACTCTACGTTCAGAAACGGAAGACCACATCTATTCTTACAACCAAACAGAGGAAATAGATGAACTTTTTGCTAGTCAGCTAACTAAGGTATGTAGGAAGCACACCACAATAGTAATGGGGGACTTTAACTACCCTGACATCAACTGGGAGACAAACTCCGCACCAAGTGGAAGATCAAACAGGTTCCTGGCAAACCTAGCAGACAACTTTGTCTCCCAAAAGTAGAGAAGGGAACTAGGGGATTAGCCATTTTGGATCTAATTCTCACTAACAGAGATGAAATGATAGACGGTGTTGAAGCCATAGGAACCCTGGGAGGAAGTGATCATGCAATATTAGAATTCAACATTATAGAAGCACAACCAATAGAACACAGTCAAACTAGAGTCTTGGACTTCAAGAGAGCTAATTTCAATAAACTTAGAGAGGGCTTGGGAAGGATTCCATGGATGAGAATCCTCAAGGGGAAAACAACTCAAGAAGCTTGGGAAATTTTGAAAAATGAGATAATAAAAGCACAGTCTAGCACAATACCAACAAAGAGGAAAAATAACAGCTCTCAAAAGAAACCAGCATGGCTGCATAAAGAACTCTCTGACAAATTGAAAGATAAAAAGGACAAGTATAGAAAGTGGAAAGAGGGGAACATAACTAAGTCAGAATATCAGCAAATAGCCCGAGCCTGCAAAGATGAAGTGAAGAAAGCCAAGGCTCAAAATGAACTGAGGCTTGCGACCAAAGTCAAAAATAACAAAAAAAGCTTCTTTCAACATGTAAAAAACAAGAAAAAAGTGAAGGAAATGATTGGTCCATTAGTGGGTGGAAGTGGCAAGAAGGTGACAGCAACAGGGAGAAAGCAGAACTATTTAACTCATTTTTTGCATCTGTCTTTACACAAAGGGAAAAAACAGACCAACCTATCAAAAATAGTGCCATAAAAAACAAACAGAAACACAAGTTAAGATAGGCAAGAAAATGGTTAGTGAGCACCTGTCCAGCCTAGATGAGTTCAAATCGCCAGGACCAGATGGATTACACCCCAGAGTTCTCAAGGAACTGGCAGATGTGATATCGGAGCCACTGAACTATATTTTTCAAAGATCCTGGAACACAGGGGAACTACCAGAGGACTGGAAAAGAGCTGATGTAGTTCCCATCCTCAAAAAAGGAAAAAAAATGGATCCAGGAAATTACAGACCTATCAGCCTGACCTCAATACCTGGGAAGATCCTGGAAAAGATAATCAAACAACGAATCAACGAACACCTAGAGGCAAACAAAGTCATTACTAAAAGCCAACATGGGTTTGTCAAAAATAGATCATGCCAGACAAATCTTATTGCATTCTTTGACCAAGTGACAAAATTAGTGGATCAGAGGAATGCTGTGGACATAATTTACTTGGACTTCAGTAAGGCATTTGATAAAGTAGATCACAACCTACTACTTGACAAGATAGAAAAATGTGGGGTAGACAGAACCACCACCAGATGGATCCGTAGCTGGCTGACCGGCCGTACTCAGCGAGTGGTCCTCAATGGAACTGCATCTATATGGAGGGAAGTGTGTAGTGGGGTGCCCCAGGGCTCTGTTCTGGGCCCAGTACTCTTCAACATCTTCATCAACGATTTGGATGAAGGGATAGATGGGGAACTCATCAAATTTGCAGATGACACCAAGCTGGCAGGAATAGCCAACACTCCAGAAGACAGGCTTCAGGTACAGAAGGATCTGGACAGACTTGAACACTGGGCACTAACTAACAAAATGAAATTCAATGGTGAAAAAAGCAAGGTTCTACATTTAGGCAAGAAAAACCAAATGCACAAGTACAGCATAGGTGGCACCATGCTCAATAGTAGTAACTGTGAGAGGGACCTCGGAGTCCTAGTAGACAATCAGTTAAATATGAGCCAGCAGTGTGCGGCAGCTGCCAAAAAGGCCAACACAGTACTAGGCTGCATTAACAGAGGGATAGAATCAAGATCACGTGAAGTATTAATACCACTCTTCAATGCCTTGGTAAGGCCACACTTGGAATACTGCATCCAGTTTTGGTCACCACGATGTAAAAAAGATGTTGAGACTCTAGAAAGAGTACAGAGAAGAGCAACAAAGATGATTAGGGGACTGGAGGCTAAAACATATAAGGAACGGTTGCTGAGAATTGGGTATGTCTAGTTTAACGAAGAGAAGGACAAGGGGGGACATGATAGCAGTATTCCAATATCTCAGGGGCTGCCATAAAGAAGAGGGAATTAAGCTATTTTCCAAAGCACCTGAAGGCAGGACAAGAAGCAACGGGTGGAAACTAATCAAGGAGAGAAGCAACCTAGAACTAAGGAGAAACTTCCTGACAGTGAGAACAATTAATCAGTGGAACAGCCTGCCTCCAGAAGCAGTAAATGCTCCAACACTGGAAGTTTTTAAGAAGAGACTGGACAGCCATTTGTCCGAAATGGTGTAGGGTTTCCTGCCCGAACAGGGGGTTGGACTAGATGACCTCCAAGGTCCCTTCCAACTTTACTATTATTATTATTATTATTACAATGGAGGAATGGTTACAAAAACTGATGGAGCTAGCAGAGATGGCTAAACTGACTGTACAGATTAAAGAAAAGAACACGAATACTTTTAATACCCCTTCTAGACTTGTGCTTGAGATGGAAAAAAAATGAAATTTTGATTTTGGGTTTTACCAAATTAGATCGGGGTGTCAAACTGCCAGCCCGCAGGCTGGATGTATCATAGCAAAACCACGCCCACCCCATTGCCGGCAATGGCAAAAAAAGTTGCGATATGTTGCAATATGTCATGTGACATTGCAAGTTTGATGCCCCTGAGTTAGGGGTGGCTAGTTATGGCTAGTCTATATTATTTTGTATAAGTAAAAAGTTGAGGTTTCAAGTTGATACTCTATCTATTGCACCAGAGGAAGTTGGAAGTCAATGCCTTTTTTCTTTTTCTCCCTTACCTCACTTCTCTACTCCCTTTTCCCTTCCCCATATTTTCCACTATTTAATTTTGTATTTCCATTGTATTGTATATTATAAACTAATAATAACTTTGGAGGGGGGAAAGGAAGCTATAGTGGAACCAAAATAAAATTAATTTTGTTGGCAGCTTTTACAGAATTCTGAAATTTCTTTTTGTTGTTTACAACCTTATGTACTTACTTGTAAATTGTGATGTTAATGTACTGGTGGTTGTTGTTTGATTGTGAATTGATGGTTCTGTTGGAACAGTTGGCCTTACTGGGTGAATTGTCAGTGGTGTTATTATTGGTTTATATGAGATGGTTTTTGCTGATTCAGTCGATTCAGTAGTTCGTGTTGTTACTGACAGTGAAGTTGTTACTGTTGTTTTTGGTGTGCTACTTCTCCTTGTTGTGGAAGCTGTTGTTGAAAGAAAACATTAATTTATCTAATAAATCCTTAAAATTTAGTCATCTGAAGATTTATAATAATTATTGCCACTTGTAATATGATTTTAAGTGTTTTCTTAATGTTCAAGTGGATGCTGTAGCTGTTAAAGTTGTTTCTGAGCTTTCTGAAAAAGGAGAATTGGAAAAAGGTATACATGTGTTCTTCTGAGCAGTTAGAAAGTATATTTAGCTACCAAAGTATTAAATGATGAGAAGATGTACTTGCAGTGTTTCTCAATTTTAACAACTGTGTGATCTTCCAAAATTTCCTAGCTAGCCTGCTGGTTGGAAAATTCTGGGAACTGATGTCTGTATATCTTTAAGTTCCTAAAGTTGAGAATCACTGCACTAAGTTATGATCTTTAAAAGTTGTATTTAATTAAAAGTAGAAAGATCCCCTGACTTTAAAGAAATAAATAAGGTTTGCTTTTTGACTCCTGTGACATCAGTAAGATCAGCATTATGCTTCTCTATCTTTTTATGCCAATTCAAAATAAAAGCCCTTTTTGTATGTTTTAACATTTTTAATAAACAAGTCATTAAAATGGGAACCTTTCATTATTATAACTGTGATCACATGAATTGTGATATACATATAATTGGGGTGATTGTTCTGCATGTCTTTGGTACAGGCATGTTTGAAGGGAGATAATTGTTATCACATGTGTAAAGCTTGCAAAAGTTGATATAGAGAAGTTTGGTATTCACAAATGAAGGTAAATGTGATGATTCCTCCAGATGTTTCTCCAGATGTCAATTCAGAGGAGGATGAACCAGTCCCAGACACTTCAGGAAGGGAATTGGTCAATGGCTCCAAGCAGCCAGCTAAGAGTGATTTGGCTGAAGCACAGCTGCAGGACAGCCCTGAGGCCTTAGATAGGTAAAACACATAGCTACAACTGGTTAGTGATGATGATAAGGAACTGCCTTCTGCACCTGATCTGAAAACATGTAAGGCAGGAGCAGTGAAGGTCATCCTGATTACCCACAAGAAGGCAGCCTTGTCCCTCTTTATTGGCTGCACCAGAAGCTGGTTATTTAGCACAGCAGACAGATGGAGATGATGCTGGGAACAATGCATACATATCTTAGCTATGTGTTTCCTGGTCATTGTGATTCCAGCCTTGCCTTGGATTGACCTTGTGTCTTGACTTTGGATTGTGCCTTGTGAACCCTGGACTTTTCTTGCCTTATGAACCCTTTTGTATTGTGGATTTAATTTTGCCTAGTGGATTTTTTTTTTGTTTGGGAAACTTTCAAGTGCCTTGTAGACTAACTGGCCATTGCTCTGTGGATTGGCATTGATCTGCTTTTGGCTGGACTTAATTGGGACAATTCTGGGTTTTTAGTGAAGGGAATTGCTGGAGAATATTAGCTCACTAACTCACACTTGCATGTGTGCCTGTGAGTGGAACAGCACAGCAAATATACGTGTCCTGGTATAATGTTGCAGGATGCAATCTGGGTCAGCCACTGGGACCATAGGTCTAATCTTCCAAGCTTTTGAACTTGTGCTGGAGCCCATCCTCAGAGAACTTCTTTCTCACCAGAATGTGTCCGTAAACTCGGAAGACTAAATGTCTGATCTTGGTGACCAACCCAGATTGGATCCTGTAAGATTGGTGTTGATTTAAAATTGACAGACATAATTGGGAATGTAGAGAGTGTTTGGAGATACGTATGTGCTAGTCCTTTAAAGGAGCAGTTGAGGCCACTCTTATATGGCTTTGGGGAATGACATACCAGTAAAATGTGTAGACACTATGGTGCTGGTTTGGGGAATTGTGGTAGTGGAAGTGATCTTCAAAGTGCTTGATATTGTAGAAGGAGATGAACTTGCTGTAGTTTCCAGTGTACTTATAGTGTGCAATGGGGTTGTGGTGGCTGCAAAAATATAAAACATTAAAAAGTAGGATTAGGCTTATGTAAATTTTGAAATGAAAAGGAGAAAAGGAAAACTGTTGAGCCTACTGAGTCTAGACACTTTGTATAGCTTCTATAGCTCAGGATTAGGTTACCTTTCCTATGGGAGAGTATAAGAGGAACGATGGTAATAGAATGATGTTGCCATAAAGAGAGCAGAGTTTTGGTATTCTCCTTATTTGAGGGCAGTCTGTGTTTATTATACATTTTGGGAATGAAAGTTGAGATTGTTAGATAAAGCACCTCTGGGATAACTATAACATATCTATTGTATTACTTGTTTTGCAAACCGAACCTCATATTATTATTTAACAGTTTCCAGCTAAAATTCAGCACTAAAAATTCAGGATTTTTCAATGTTTGTAAATTGGGGGTAGAATCCAGGATCCAAAAATAGCTTCATGAAACAAGGAAATGTGAGTCTGGCATTCCTATCCAGATTCTTTATTGTTTATTATGCTGGAAAATAGAAATCAATACTTTCTCCTTGTTGTAAAACTATGCCTTGGCCCCAAAGCCTACTTTCAATAGCAGGACTGATCCTTGAGTGGGGGACTCTCTTCTTAATGAAGTAGGAAATCATTTTTTTTCTGTTCCAGTTGTGTCTTTTGGAAAGTTTTTAATTGTCAGCCACACCAGGTTGGCCAGACCTGAAAATCAATTCCATAGAAAGACCCTAGCTACATTTATTGAGATTGACTATAATACTAGAATCTTTCAAGTGTGTTGGTGCAGTATCCCCACCCAACTCTTCTTATCCCTTGTGTATCAGGGAAGTGTCTGCCTGAGCCACTTTTGGATGTCCCTGAAGCATGTCTATGGAGATTCTCAGTCATTCAGGCCATGGTTATCCCAAAGGTGTTGTTTTTCAAAACACAACTGGACTTTCTTGTTTTTTCCTTGAAAATGTTTCACTTCAAGGCCACTTGGGGGTTTATATGTGCCCTTAAGGTCACCTAAATCAGAGTGCAAATGGGTGTAGAACCTGAAGGCCTGTGTTCTAAATAGGAGATAGGTGGTGTTGTATCTCTCCCCTCTGTGGAGATAGGGCTGTTCAGTTTTAATGTAGATGGTCTTTTTGAACTCTCTTCCAAATCAGTGGTCCTCTCTGTTCAGAATGTGGACTTTGCTGTCTTCACAAAAGTGACCTTTGTCCTTCAAATGTAGATGGTACAGATCCTGGCAGCTTATAAGAAAAAAATTCTTGATTTCCTACAATTACTACTGATGGACAATGCCATTGACAAGCCACAGTACTACCACCAAATGGCATCAATGACTCTGCTAGTGACAGATGGCTGCAAGGAATATAATTCCTTCCATTCCCTACTATTCAGTCAAACTGAAGAAGCTTCTTGGATGAGAAGCGAAATGTCTTCAAAGACAAAAAAAGGCTAGTTATCTTTCAAAAAAGCACTTTGGCGATGTCCCTGAAGCATGTTTCAGTCACTTTTGCCTAGATTATGGGTCCCACATATTTCTCTCAAAATCATAGGAATATAGAAATAGAAAAATACAATATAATACACTTAAAATAGAGACATTTAAAATGTTGTATTTACCTATTATAGCTGTTGGAGTGGTGGTAGGTGGCTGTTCTGTGAAAAGAAAGCATAAGTGTAATATAAATTATAAAATGTTTTGAATCATGAAAAGGATCCAGAGAACTTGGGGGCACTAATTGGTTTCATTTTGATGTCCTATCAACATACTTATAGCTTTACTGGTAAGCAATCACATAATGTGACTACATAATGTACAGTAAATGCACATATTTTGTGAATACAAGTAGTCCGCACTTAACAATCACTCATTCAGACACCTTTTGAAATTATGTTGACTCCAAAGGCATGGTATTTATAACTGGTCCTCATATTTACAAGTTGCTTGCATGTAATCTTTGTGGTTCCATGATTGCATTTTGGATGCTCAGTAACCAGTCTATACTTCTGACTATCATAGCACCTCTTGGACATGTGACTGCAATTTGCAACCTTTCCTCCTGGCTTCCCAGAAGCAAAGTCAATGGGGAAACTGTCAGGAAGTTGCTGGTCGGTCACAGTCGTATAAAGTACTCAGTGACAGCAGCCAAAAGTGCCATAAATGCAGGCATAAAGCAGCATGGTCACATGATGCCATACTTATTAAATGGTCCACTTAACAATGGAGTTTCTGGTCCAGTTATCATTGTTAACCGAGGACTACCTGTACCATGATGATCTGGTCTTGTATAACTGGTTTTGCCATGTGAATTTATGGTGCATTCATCTGACAAACTATTAAGCATGAAGCAATTGTAATTTGTTGACACAATTGAGATGGCAAGCTATTGAATAAAATAACTGTCAGTGGTATTCTTTCCATACTGTGTCCATTTCCATAGAGAAGCTGTGTTCTAGCTACATTCAGTATTAACATCCCATTCAAGAAAAATCTAATTTTTTATATTAAAAATTATTTTCTAACCACCATAATATACACAGTATATTTCCTAAATTATCATAATAAGTAGATAGACCAACAAAAGTCAGGGTTTAAGAGCTTATAAAATATGGCCTATTCCTTACAACATGCTCATAATAATGAAATCAGTAAAGTTGGGTAGATTTGAAGAACATTTCTGAATATAGAGGTTGTTATTTAAAATCGAACCTCTTTTCTTACCACAGGGTACGCAGGCTTTCCGTTTTGAATCATAGTACTCATCATGTGAACAGTTGTAACAGCCTGAAAGAAAGGGTAAAACACATCTTGAACATTATGCATTCTTTCAGCTAAACAATGGTTTTGAAATAAGAATTAAGAGATTACTAACATTTGTAAATGAGCCTTGGGCAATTAACTATAACGCATTTCCAAATTTGATCATTTGGGCCCATGATTTTCCACACAACATTCTGAAAAATATTGACCAATTTTTTTTAAAAAAATGTATTTTTCTTAGTTTCTGCTAGCTTTCTTTTGCTTGTTGCATCAGACCCTAGACAATTTGACTGTTGCAAGATTAATGTTTCCCTTTAAATATTGCAGTTATATTATGTTTTAACTATTAATTAATCTTCTGGTATTGATGACAGGATAACAAAAGTAAGTTTAACAGTTATGTTTCCACAGTCTGGAAAAGATAGGGACCACTAGTGTAAGATTGGAATCTATTTTGACAGATTTTTGAGGACAAATTATTTGAAGAAGCCAGCATTCTCTGCAACACTCTATTAATTAGCTAGTTCTTGTAACAGTTAATTAATTAGACCTTATAATTCTTAATATTCACAACATCAGATGTCTCTCTTGATTTAAGCCTCATAAGCAGCAACTACAGTCGTTAGATGAATTCAGTGTTCAAAACTGTGACAAGCTGTGCTTAGATATGAAATCAATGTCATAATTGCTTTAAATATTTGGACAAGTGTCTGGAGCTATATCTGGTATCAAGTATCAAGAAAAAGTTGTGGGAAAGAGACTTCATGGGCAATCTCGTGTGGGAGACAGTTGCTACACTCGTGACTAATATAGCTTGTACTCTGAAAAGGCAAACAATCTTATTTTACCTTCAACATTGACTTCTGTTACTGGTAACATATTTGGACATTTACAGGGACGATAATGCCAAGTGCAATTTATTTCATTGACATAACTATAATCCATGCCGATCTTTTTGTGGGTGTTGAAGTAGTCACAGTATACAGCTAAAAGTAAGTGAAGAAAGTTATTGTTCAAAAGATCACAAAAAACTTAATCACAAGCTCACCTAGACAAATAATGAATTATAACAGTGATGCCAATGTTCTGCCCTCCCTTAAGATGAGAAAATCAAGTTGATTTCTGATATATAGAGATCTGTACAGAATTAAATTTAAAAGAAATGAATCACCAGTAGATTTTACAACTCATTCCAAATCAGTCAAGGAAATGTTTGCAAGTAGCTCCTTAATCTGAGATATGTTTTAATGTGTTGGCTTTTAGCATTGTCAAAATGCTCCTTGGAGCTGAAGAATATTTCTATCCTGGTTAGTTTCATTTGCCTGCAACTGTACACAGAAGATAGTCAATTTTTTTTTGCAGCTTTGTAAAAACCAATAGAAAAAACAAATAATCTGTGCTGAAGATCGATCGTATTAGGAAGCCCCAGTTAGCGTGTGAGTTGGATAGCCTAAACATTTCTCTATTTTAATAACTGCCTTTTTCAATTCAGACATACTATACAACAATCTGGAAAGAGAGCAAAGGGCTTGAAGAAGAATTTCAACTTTCTTTTCTTCAAAAAGAAGAAACTTACGGCAGAAATCAGGAGTTCTCCAGTCAATGCAGACCCCAGCATCTAAGCAAGCTTTTGCATAGACTGCAATGATATCACACAGACATTCACAATCTCCTCCACTGTCACATCCACATGTGTCTCGGACACAAGATTCATAGTAAGACATCCGGTATACCTGTAGTGAGGAACAAAAGGTTAGTTTCAAAATGATTGATTTAGAACAGGACTTTTCAACCTTTTCACCCATTGTACCACTTTCAGGATACAGCAATATCGGATACCACCAGTCGCCTAGCAAGGTGTCAAAAACTTGATGACCCAAAAAAAAAAAAGGAAAAAAGTGATGAAGTACAGGTAGTCCTCGACTTACAACAGTTCGCTTAGTAACTGTTTGAAGTTACGATGGCATTGAAAAAAGTGCCCCCCAAGCCACAGCCGAGCATGACACCTGCCTGCCCACCTGGCACCACTCTTCCTCCTGTCTGAGGTTTTCATTGTTGAGGATTTGCAGTGGGGGAGGGGTGGGGTGTGTGTGGTTTTTATTCCCCGACATCTGATGGGTGGTTGCAGCAGGTTTTGGTCACTTCATATGACCCTGGGACACTGTGACCATCATAAATATGAATCAGTTCCCACACATCTGAATGTAAATCACAAGACCCTGGAGATAAGGCAACATTCCAGCTGATTGGTGCTTCTTCAGAGCTCAGCAGAAGCTCCAGGATCAGCGCCGAGCTCCAGCTGGAGCCTGGTGCTAATCCTGGCACTTCCACTGAGCCCTGAGAGTCCCGAAGAAGCACCGATCAGCTGGAAAGCGGCACTGATCCTGGTGCTTCCGCTGAGCCCTGACAGCCCTGTAGTTCCAGCCATCTCTAGCTCAGGCTTGTGCAGTGCTGCCACTGGTTCAGCTCATTCCCCTCTCCTGCTACTTTTCTAGGATGGTCGCGTACCACCTGCCAGGTGACAATGTACCACAGGTGGTACCCATGCCACTGGTTGAAAAGCCCTGATTTAGAAGATATAATCCTTGTGTTCAGCAGAGGCCAGTGATAATTGTTAAGAAAAATGGGTGCGAATTAGATTAATATTTCATGGATACACAGGATACATTAAAGGGATATCATTTCAGGCATTTACCTTATTGTGACAGGGGGCAAATACTGGACTGTTGATAATAGAGCATTGTTTCTCTGCCCATGCTTTGCGATAGGGGTTTTTGGCACAGGGATCAGCTGCAAAGGACACATCTCCACAGACAGGATTTTCTTTCCAGGAATTTACAAATACAAATTCGTTGGATGCTAGATATTTACTCCGTGTTTCAAAATCATCTTTTACGTTGCCGTTGTAATTACCACATAAGCCACAAAGGTGATCCTAGTTTAAAATAGAAGAAAATCATTTGTGGAAACTACATTGAGCCATAAAAAAATGTATATTTTCGTAGTTGCAAAAGAGACAGTGGTTATTTCAGGTTGTGCAGATAATAGTCAGTGGCAGTAGCAGAGGAGAAATTGGCCAACATCCCTTTTAGTCATCTATTTGTTTAAAATTACAATCCCCTGTTGCTTCCTTTCATAGATAAAAAATATGGGAAGCTGTGTCTTTCTCCTCTTACAAATAAAAGCAATTAAGGGTAGTTCTGAATAGAGAAAACATGCCTATATATTTGATGGGCCTTTAAAAATATAACTCTAGAAAATGAATGGTACATAGCTCTTCCAAATTGCACTATGCTGGGGATTTGTTAAGTGCAAAGCAAGCCATAATAGCATTGATCATAATACTACACCAAATGTTATGATTTGAAAATCGCTAGACAAATCCACACATACACAATGCTAGGCTAAAGCAAAAAGAAAGAAAAATAAAAGCTTGAGCATGGTGTGTAAAATCAGCAATTGCACCTGCCTGATTTCTGTTTTCAACTTATGATACCTAGAAGAACATATCATGATGTTGGAATTACTTATTCAACTTCATACATATGACACCAGAAATTCATTTTCTGAGAGCTGCTCTCAGGGAGATTGGGGGGGGGTTAAGATGTGAAAAATAAACAAATGAATGAATGAATAAACAAACAAACAAACAGCTGCTTTTTATTGTCAAGCAGGTGAGAATGTGTACCTCAGATGCCCAAATGATAGGATTTGGTTTTAATGCATGAAGCTGGAATATGTGTGTTACTTCCCTTGGAAAATAAGCTTGAAAAATCTACTTCCCATTACCTTTGTTTCTCTGAAAAGCTTGATGAATAGATTCATGTGCCTGTTCCAGATCAGGGTCATATTGTATTTGCCAGGGATTGTGATCTGAATAACCAAATGGAGTGTATTCTGTTCTATGAAGAAATGTATCAGAGGATTGCTACCATAAACAGTAAATGTTTTATCTCCCATGACGATCGTCAGATTCTGCCAAGAAAATACATGGAAATGAAAAATTAATCTCAGATCTATTTTTATTTTCATTTAAACCCTTCCCAAAACCCCCAGCCTAAGAGAGAATACATTGCAACAAATCAAGATGGATATAAGGAGTGGGATCACAGCTCAGTTGCAGAGTATAGAAAAATCAGACTAAATCTCAGAGATTTTCAGTAAAAAAATAATAATAATTAAATAGGAGAATGTCTATGGAGATTCTCAGTCATCCAGATCATGGTTGTCCCGAAAGTATTTTTTCAAAACACAACTGAACTTTCTTTGTTTTTCCTTGAAGATGTTTCACTTCTCATGCAAGAAGTTTCTTCAGTTCTGACTGAATGGAAAAAATTATATCTTATTTATAAGATATAAGCACCTTTGGGACAATTAAATAGGTGGGGGAAAGAAAAGGTTGCTGCCATAGAATGGCCTGTATTAGGCTAGATGGATCTGACTTACTATAGGCAGCTTTTTCTAGATTTGCCGTACAGTATATCACACTGGGACAGATCCAATTTGTCAAGAAAAAAAGGTCACCATGCACACTACCTAAGATTTGGGAAAAAAAATTCTTTCCATAACTACCTCCTGGGGTATAATTGTCGTTCAAGTCACTAGGATTTGTGGACCAATTTTTTCAAGTAGAGTATAATGTCATTTAAAATGTACCACTGATTGATATTGTATCACACTCCTTCCTAACAAATAGTTCTCACTTTTCTCAAGTCTCTGTCCATTCACTCAGCATGACAACACTGTTCCTCATGCATAATAGTAACTATAGCATGTTCTTACCCCAAGATAGAGCTTGATTGCTCTGGAACATGTGACCCCAGTATTTCCACAAACAACATTTTCAGTCACTATTTTAAAAGTATGGGAGGATTTAGCCATGTCACAGCCATCCTAGGAAGGAATGCACAGACAGATAAAATTAGATTATTCAGGGTAGTAAAAATACATGCAGTGAATTAAGGTTCAAATACAGCCCCTTAGGACTTTGGATCCTAGACCTAAGCAGACTGAAGGATATTTGATCTAACCATGATACTAATCGAGCTTTGCACTTGGGATGCTCCTAATATATGGCTCTACCTAGAGGACTGTCAGAGGATGCTCCTGTTTTTTGAAGGCATTTTCTGTTTAAAGAGTTGATTCCCTCAATTCCAGTTTAAGGATGATGAATTATGAGGAATATTGAACACTGAAGTTGCCTTATTATCAAGTCCACTTGGACAAAATGTTTTCTGTAACGGTACGTTCCACTTCTATTTAAATGAGAGCAATCATGTCTAAATACATAAAAGGATAATAGTTACTGTAAGCATATCTCAGCCCTCATTCATTCCTTTTTTTTTGTAAAGTTATTTGCAGTTTTTCTTTAATGATGTCAAAGGTCACTTCCTTAATGCTTAACATAATTTTAGTCTTTTTTTCCCCCTTAAAGTGCATAGAAAGCATCAAGATGAGTGTGGATTAGTGGAAAGGGAATTAAAGCGTAAAGGAGATATTAGCAGATGTTCTTTGAATTCATTACAACTCCTATTTACATCATTTTTTAAAATATAAAAATGACACTTAACAATAAACTTGCAATGTATCTTGTACGGTGAAAGCCGCACAGAAACATTAGGTGATGAAGAGGTTGCTTCTACAGGCTAGTTTTTCTGTGAAAATGCATCTATATATTTTTATTGTCAGGAAAAGCTGTTGTTGCCAAATCCAGAAGTGTAAATCAGGTAATTAATAATATAAATAATAATATAAGATTGGGGTACATAGCATTTTTTTGACTGTGAAGGTCTGCTCTAAAAACAAATGGTTAAAATTAGGACAAAGGTTGGTTTAGGATCAAAAACAAAATGTGATTCAATTAAATTATACTTCATTTTGAATATAACTAGATTCTTCACCACATACTTAACGATTTTTCCTGTCAGTCATGTTACAATTCTGTGGCATATTCAAAGAGTCACATTAGCCCTGGAACCACAGGCTATGACATTCTGGCATAAAGGCACCCTCTAATCCTAATTTAAAAGGGTGGGCATAAATATTTCAGAATGTCTTTTATGACTCGGGGACTTCAACTCCCAGAATTCCTGAGCCAGCACAGTCATAAAAGAGCCAAGGTTACCTACCCCTGTCCTAGACTTATGACCACAGTAGCGACCCAAATTTCTGGCGGTTTTTCAGTGAGTCATGATTTTCTGACCTTTTGTGGCATGACTGTTAAGCAAATTTCTGCAGTTGTTAAGCGGATCATGTGGTCGTTAAATGAACTCGGCTTCCTCTATTGACGTTGCTTGTCAGAAGGTGGCTGGTATGGTCACAAATCTGCGATCACATGATTCTGGAATGCTGCAGCTGTTATAAATAGATGCCCGTTGCCAAGCATCTGAAATTTGATCCTGAGATTGTGGAGCTGCTACAATGGTTTTACATGCAAGGACTGATGGTAAGTCCCTTTTTTTGGTGCTGTTGTAACTTTCAATGGTCACTAAATGAACGGTTGCAACTCAAGGACTACCTCAAGTTACTCCAGACCACAGGCCTTGAATTATTTTATTAGTTTGAGCATACCTAATTAACATGTTTTAAGGACATAATTGACAGGTGTGCAAGGTGTAATAAAAGAGAAAATACCATAGCTAATATGTATTCACAGTTGCCATCAAATGCGAAGTTCTGTCCATCAAAGGAGGTGATATGACCTTCCCCATAGAGACTACATGTAGAAGAGCACTTGGAATTCTGAATGCACTTCCATTTTCCTCTTGTGCAGATACTGATAAAGACATAAAGTACTTCTTAGAAAGATTTGAAATGGATAAAAAGTGTGCATGCTGCTTTGTGAAAACAACTTTCTTGATGTTTTCATATGACACTAATTTTATTTTCTAAGGTCACATATTTGATTAGCTCAGTGGTTCTCAACCTTCCTAATGCCGCGACCCTTTAATACAGTTTCTCATGTTGTGGTGACCCCCAACCCCCCATCCAGCTGGCCGGGGGGTATCAAAAACTTGACCAAAAAAAGAGGAAAAAATGGGAAAGTATAGGTAGTCCTCGATTTACAACAATTCGCTTAGTGACTGTTAGAAGTTACAACAGCACTGAAAAAGCGAATTATGATCATTTTTCACACTTATGATTGTTGCAGCATCCCCAGGGTCATGTGATTTACTTTCGGATGCTTGACAACTGATTCATACTTATGACATTCACAGTGTCCCAGGGTCACATGATCAATGGCCAGGGGATGTGGCCAGCTGATCACTCAGGTTGCAGAGTGCCTGTGGGGGGGGAAATCTGTGGGTCTCTGGGATGGGACTGGGGTGGGTGCCTGCCTTCCTTCCCTCCTCTTGTCCTTTCCTTCCTTCTTTTCTTCCTGTCCTTCACCTCCCTTAGTCTCTTCCTCCTTCCCTCCCTCTCTCCCATTGTCCCTTCCTTCTTTCTTTCCTTCCTTTCCTTCACCTCCTTCTTAGTCTCTTCCTTCTTCCCTCCCTCTCCCATTGTCCCTTCCTTCCTTCCTTCCTTCCTTCCTTTCTTCCTTCCTTCCTTCTTTCATTTCCTTCCCCTCCCTTAGTCTCTTCCTCCTTCCCTCCCTCTCTCCCATTGTTCCTTCCTTCCTTCCTTCCTTCCTTCCTTCCTTCCTTCCTTCCTTCCTTCTTTCCTTTCTCCCTCCCTCCCTCCCTCCCTCCCTCCCTCCCTTCCTTCCTTCCTTCCTTCCTCCGTTCTTTCCTTTCCTTCACCTCCTGCTTAGTCTCTTCCTTCTTCCCTCCCTCTTTTCCATTGTCCCTTCCTTCTTTCCTTCCTTTCCTTCCCCTCCCTCTTGGTCTCTTCCTCCTTCCCTCCCACAACCACCCCAATAACCACAATCTCCACCCAAAGCTCCACTTCTCCCATTATATTGACCACCTCTAGAACCAGCCCACCTCTCTCTACAACATCAACCGTCACTCCCACTACGTCCACTTCCACAAGAAGCCCCACCACCACACCTACAACTATCACTCCCACCACCTCAATACCCAGCAGTACTCTTGTCTCCACCACCCCCACAACCTCCCTAACCACTACTACAGAGCCTCCTTCGACCTCAACCACGACACCAACAAAGAGCACCCAGTGGTAAGTTGGCATTTTCATTTAGCAACTCTACAACTATATTGCTCTGATATGGCCCTTCAGACATCTCATGTGTTGTATCTCCTGGTCTTTCTTTTGAGGCATGATAAAATAGTGTACAAAAAGTGAGGGTGCACCCACATTCACTGGTTGATAAGCTGCTTCTTGATAGCTTGTTAAGCACTTCCCTGATGTTTAATATCACTGTCCTATCCTCACCCCCTCTCCCATCCCGTCCCACCTTTCTTTCTTTCTTTCTTTCTTTCTTTCTTTCTTTCTTTCTTTCTTTCTTTCTTTCTTTCTTCCTTCCTTCCTTCCTTCCTTCCTTCCTTCCTTCCTTCCTTCCTTCCTTCCTTCCTTCCTTCCCTCTTTGTCCCTCCCAAAAGGGGTTCCTTTTCTCCACTCCTTCCCTGGGTTTGTGGGGAATTTCTTGTCACCAATGCTGACAGGTGCTCCTTCAAGCCCACCGCAACCTTTCTCGCCCCCTTTGCTTCTCCCCCCACTTCCATGAGGATTGTGGCGCCCTTGGGAAGCCGATTGTGCTTTGAAGCTTAGGAGAGAAGGAGGAGTCCCTTCCTCCTTCCCTCCCTGTCTCCCTGTCAAGCCCTGGCGGGCTCAATATGAACAGGTGGAGGAGATGAGGACAGGCGGGGTGGCAAAGGAGACTGGTGGCTGTCGCTAGACCTCCCGGCTGACAAGCACAAGTTTGGGGGTCACCAGCTGACGGGCGCAGGAGTTGGGTGCTGCGGCGGCCTTCCCTTCGCTGACCTGCATGCACAAGAAGAAGTCAATCCGGTTGCTGCACAATGAGTCTCTGGGGAGGATGGGGCCTTGCTCTGCACCTGCGTTCTTCATGCACCCCCTGCAGGGTACATTTGGTAGAGTTCGTGCAGACTGACGCCAAGCAGCATATTTTCCACAAACAAGTGAGGTGGAGCAAAGGGGGGAGGGAGAGAAGGCGGCTGACAAGCCCTGCCTAAGACCATCAGAAATATGTGTTTTCCAATGGTCTTAGGCGACCCCTGTGAAAGGCTCATGCGACCCCCAAAAGGGTCGCGACCCACAAGTTGAGAACTGCTGGATTAGCTGGATGATTCACTAGCTGGAGTGTAATGAACTGTATAGAAGCTGAGATGTGACATTTCCTAATTGAATCTTGCAAAATTTGGCCAAGGATGCAAATGATTGGAATGAGAAATCTTACCATGTATTACACCCAGTGTTAATTTCAGCTCCTTTTTCATATGAAATGCCACTATATTCGCAAGGACACTCCTCAGGTGGCACACATGTACCATCTAGATTTTCATATAGTCCAGGTGCACAGACACATCCAGATTCACATTTGGTAGGAATCTGGAAAAGATCAGGCATATAGACTCTGTCATGTACTAAGAACAGCATATGGAAAACTAAGGTTGCCTGTAACACATATGCACCTAGTTTTACTGAACAATTGATTATTTTTTAAAATATATTAAGTACATTCAACCTCTTCATGATTGCCTTAGGCTGTTAAATGACACCTATAAATAGTTTTATTATAAACATGTGGTAAGTAGTCTCAGAAAACACAACAATACGGCTACTAGATTTTATGAAATTAAAAAGTAAGCAGTTTTCCAAATATTGCTTTAAGATTTTTATAAAGGATGTGCTCATATTCTTGCAACCTTTCCCTGTAGGAACTTAATTTTAAAGTTGTGAATCAACTCAACAGTCCTCATAAACTTTGTCATATGCAAAAATTGCTGGAAACCACAGTGTCATTGGAGCAATTGATTATCAGTGAAAATAAGTGATATTTTTTATATATTACCCCAGCTGCAAAAGAGATGGTGATTTATGACAATCATCCACACGTCAGGGAGAATATACATGATGTTATACAGTGGATGAACATATGATTTCACTTATCCTCTTCTTTCTTATAGAAAGTAGAGATCCAGATGACTAGATGACCTCCAAGGTCCCTTTCAACATCATCATCATCATCATCATCATCATTATTATTATTAGATATGTTTTGTTTAAACAATTCCTTGACAATAGGTCTTTTATATAGTTGGCACATTGGGCAACATTCCTGTATGAATTCCACATTACTGTGATAACCTATAAAGAGCATCTGCATCCATATGCTTTAGTCTGTTTGTTACTTATTGTTTATCTTATTTCTTAGATTTCTATTCCGCCTTTTGCAAGAGCTGAAGTCAATGCACAAAGTGCTTCCTTTTCCCATTTTCCACTTCCACTACCCAGTGAGGAAGGTAGACCAAATAAGGAGTGACTGCCCCAAAGTCACCTAGTGAACTTCTGTGGCTGAGGATGGATTCGAAACTGGGTCTCCCTGGGTTAGTCTAACACTTTAAACTTCATATCAGATCATGGCTTTGGAATTATGAAGATGAATAGATCCCAAACTTAAGTCTAAAATGAGAGCACATATTGAGACTGAAGGAATGAGGCATATAGTATGATGATGCTTACTTGTGTGACCCACTGAATTTAATGGACCTTGCTCCCAGCAAAAGGAGTCTAGAATTGCAACCTCTAAATCAGCGGTTCTCAACCTATGGGTCGCGACCCCATTTGGGGTCGAACGACCATTTTACGGGGGTCACCAAACAACGCGATCCACCATTTTTCCCCCTCATGGGGCGGCGCTGCGCATGGGGCCGGCGCCGCGCATACGCGCCGTGTTCGTGTGACCGGGGGTCGCCGTATAAAAAGGTTGAGAACCGCTGCTCTAAATTCATGAGATATATAAACAGGCTGTAGTGGCTCTCATGCTGTAGGTCTGCTCTTTTTCTGCTGCAGTGTAAAGCTGATGGGATGGGAAGTGGGCAGAACATTTCTCATTTCCTTCGTGAGCACAGAGTTATAGTCTTCTGATATGAAACAGCTCTCATCACCCACAGCCCCTTTGATAGTAACCCATTGCAAGAAGGTTTTTCTCTCTTTAATTTGGGAAAACATCAGAATCATACCATCCATAAGGAACTAACTGGACTGTGGGCTCAACTTCAGTGCTAAAGCAGTGATGACCGATAATACTGCCCACTCCCTTGATTATTTAGATACCTGGGAAATATTGCTGCTATTTTGTATTTATGATCATTTTCTTTTGCACAATGCTATCAATATTCCAAGAATATGCATTTCATTTCATGAGCTAAACTTTAGACTGGCTTGTAAAGAGGTAACATTTCAGTAAGGACATTACATCATAGAATTAATGCAACTAGTCTCCCCATCATGCACAGCTACTGCAATCTCTCACATGCTTTTGGATAGCCCCTAAATATTACAAATATTGACTCACACAGCCAGTTCCAGTGGCCAGCATTTGACAGGTTGGTGCACAAGCAGCCCCATATTTGCTTCCTGAGGGGGCTGAACATGAAATGAACTTTTTTGGAGGGCTGCAGATTTCTGCAAAGGGAAATAAGACAAGCATAATGTGATTTTTTGTCATGTAGAGGAAAGGGATACTCTGGGAAAGAAAATGAGATCCATACCTAAAAGGTTTGTTGGTTGGCCCATACAAGTCAGATTTCCTTTACTGCAGTAGCTAGAAAAGAAAAAGGTATATTAAAATGCTCTTACAGATATTTAGATTCAAGATTTTTTACACAAAGTCTGAGCCTGCATCATTTATGAGAAGCTATATAATTTTCTTCTTGAACCAATTTAATGTTCAACAACCACGTTTCAAATGATGTGGAAAAATGTTAACAGAAAGAGACTTACCACGTAACTCCATTAATTATCGTGAATTGTTCTGCCAGAATGATCTGTCTGCCTTTCAGGTAGCAGGGACACTGAGATTTCTGGACACACTCATTTTTGTGGTTCAGGTAAGTTCCTTTTGGACAATTGCAGCCATCAATAGGCACGTCAGTGGGATGACATTCAATTTCTCTGCTGGAGAGGGACAGGCATGTCCGGTCACAGGCTTCTGCATTGTAGCTGAATGTCTGATTTCCAATACAAGATACAGCTGCAGATACAAACAGCATAATTAGCTTTGGATGTTCAGAAAAATTCAATGACCCCATTTCTCTTTACACAAGAAATCACTAGTTATTTATTTGGAAATGCAGCGACACAAACATCTCCCCTTTACACCATGCTCAGATTGCTATTTAATTACAGTTTACTAAATGATCTCCAGTTTTCTCAGTTTGTGCAACCGGTAAAACTAATTACACAATGTGTTAGCACACTATGTGTACAAACTCATTCACAGTGTGAACCAGGCTAGACTTCTGCTGGAAAAAGACTTGGAGCATCTCAGAGAACTCTTGAATCCTGACAGTAATTTTCCCCAAAACCTGCTCACTGTGGACATGATAATACGAGAACAACAAATATGAGTCATGATAATATGAGAAGAATTACAAAATCCATTACTACTTAGATTATCAAGACTAGATCAACTACAGGTGATCCTTGACTTACAACAGTTCATTTAGTGACCTTTCAAAGTTACAACGGCTCTGAAAAAAGTGACTTATAACCATTTTTCACGCTTATGACTATTGCACCATCCCCATGGTCACATGATTTACATTTGAATGCTTGACAACTGGTTCACATTTATGATGGTTGCAGTGCCTGGGATGTGTGTCATGTGATCCCCTTTTGCGACCTTCTGACAAGCAAAGTCAATGGGGAAGCCAGATTCACTTAACAATTGTGTTACTAATTTAACAACTGCAGTGATTCACTTAACAAATGTGGCAAGTAAAGTCATAAAATGGGGCATGAGTCTTTTTAACAATTTTCTCACTTAGCGACATAAATTCTGGGCACAATTATGGTCGTAAGTCGAAGACTATCTGTATATTTAGCACTCTATATTGAAGCCCTTTAGCGAAGTAGGGAATTCTTGTAGTTTAAAACAATCTGGAGATTACTTACTGCAGTTGTCGATTATATTGCGCCAGTTCCAAAGAAATATTCCCTTTAAAGCACATTCACGGGCATAGGACCCCAGAGCAGAACAAATATATGGAAAGGTCTCCTCATAATTGCAAGCTTGATATTGACATCTCTGAAAACAGGTTGAACTTAGTCAGTAGCACATCAGAAATTTTGAATGCTGGAGCACTAGAATTCGTTCAGATACATGTGTATATCACTGAAACAGGCTAGTATAATTTGTTTTATTAGTGAATAATGAAAAATGTTCCAGAGCAGCTCTATGTCCTTACACAAGTCCTCATTTCACAGATGAATACAGACACAGTACTTTGTATTCCAAAATAAAGAAGCTATTCAGTATGAAAATGAAACTGTGTCTGTGGGTTCTGATGGCACACTAAATGAAAGATTAGTCAAAGTATTGCAAAATATTGATTTCCTTATAATTTAGAAAGCTCATTTTGGCATTTTGGTAATGTGAACTGGCTATTTTCCCCCACAGTCATATTCTGAAAATACACAAATACTCAGAAATTTAAAATGTTTTTTTTCTACCAAATTTATCAGACTCCCAAAGGGCTAAACACCTAATTTTAAAAACCCAGCAATGTATATCCATAGTTTTTTAAAAAATAGCAGAACTGTTAAAAGCAATAAAATATATTTGGAGAGTCTATTTATGGAATAATTTATCAGGAGAAAAGGGAAATTTCTAACTTGGGTTACAAAGAATGAAGAATTGGAGAGTCTGGTTTAGTAATATTCAGTGAGAGCTCTGACAAAATGCTGAAGGTAAGATAAATTGCCCACTTTGAACTATATTTTTATTGGACTTTTACTGCAATAAGTCATATAAGCATAACAAATGTCAGGCAGTTTCAGACAGGAATTGTATATCAGTTTACGTTATTTACCTTTAGCATAAACTCATCGTCCTGTGGTGTAAACTGAAGTAAGGAATAATGCCTTGTTTTCTGAAGTGCTCTAGTCTAGCAAATTTGGTATTTCTCTCGCCTGGACTACAAATTTGCCTCATTATTATGATAAATTATTCCACATGTCATAATATGACATTCCAGACTACAAGACTACATTTTTTCTTTTGAAATAAATCCCAGATTACTCAAAGGTCACCAAACACTCCTTTTGTAAAGGATTAAAACTGCAAGAGTCTCTCTCTCTCTCTCTCTCTCTCTCTCTCTCTCTCTCTTTCTCTCTCTCTCTCTCTCTCTCTCTCTCTGCTCTCTCTCTCTCTGTTGTGTTTTAAGGTTTCAGAACTGCCCTAAAGCAAGGACTTATATGTTCCATGAATTATTTTCTTCCTCTGTTTTCTTAATTAGCTTATGAGACAAAATTCCATCAACAGTCATGCTAACACAGTGAGAAATATTTTATTAGCTGAAGTTGCAACCAATATTATATATTAATTTAGCATATTTAGAGAAAAACATGGTCTTGTAAAAAACATCCTCTAATGATGTTAATAATTATTGCTGACTTGAATGTGAAGAGAAATTTGCTGATTGCTACTTTTTTTTTAAGAAGGGGAAAAGAGAAAAGATGAGAAATAGTATTTGGTTGAGTTGACTATTAAAAAAAAAAAACTAGCTTAGCCTTTGGAGAAAAAGAGGCCATTTATCACTAAAATGGTTTTGAATTTTACAGACGCTATAAATCAGTTCAAACATGCTTTATAGTGAAGGTCCAGTGGAATAGAGGGTTCTGTTCCATCTAGTGTGGTTAATTTCCCCTTCTCCACTGCCTTTCTCTGCCTAATATTTAGGACTCTGGCTAATATCAGAAGCCACAGAAAATTGTTTGTATCCTAGCATGTAAGAGAAGAAGAAGGTCTGCGTGGACTTGATGCAACTGTATTTCAGTGGAACAGCTTGCCTCCAGAAATCGTGGGCACTCCATCACTGGAGATTTTTAAGAAGAGGCTAGACAGTCACTTGTCTGAGATAGTATAGGTTCTCCTGCTTGAGCAGGGAGCTGGACTAGAAGACCTCCAAGGTCCCTTCCAGCTCTATTCTTCCCATTCATTTCCAGAGACATCTTTGATGGAATGGGATGGCCTTTGTATGCTTCTCTATAAAAGAGTTATTATTCCTGCTATGCCTCTGTTCTGCCTTGTCTAATTGATTTATACCCCACATTTATTATTTTTATAAATAACTCAAGGCAGCTAACATACATACACAATATGAACGAATATACATAACATTCCTTCCTGCTCCCATTTCCCCCATGAAACAGCCTTTTTGGCTGAGAGAGTGTGACTGGAGCAAATTTACCCAGCTGGCTTTCATACCTAAGATGGGACTAATGGTCTCTTCGTTTGTAGCCCAGGGCCTGCCTTCCTTAGATCACATAAACTCTTAAAATGTGGATCTGGTAAAGCTTATTTAAAATAAATCTGGAAAAATATCAAATCCCAAATAACAGTTGTTACTGAATTTTGTCATGCATTTCATAGTCTAATGTCCAGCAGCTTTCTCCTGAGAACACAAAAACCCCTACCTTGACAAATGGATCAGGATTCACCACAGAATGACATTTCTGAAATAGTGCATTCATTTTTAAAACAGAACAGTGGGTCTCTGCAGATATTTCTAGGGAAAAAGTATAAAACAAATTCAATGATATCAGAGTTAATCTTAAAATGAAAATTTAAAAGAACTTTGGAGACCACAGACAAACTAGATTAATAATTATTTCCCTGGCTGAATTTCTCACTACAAATGCCAGTGAAAATCACATTTTTGTTATATTTTCTTTAGGACCCTAGAAGCCTAGCCAATTTTAATATATTTTAAATTTGAATATAAGATATCCATTCCCTAGTTAATTTCCTCATTTATATAGCATGAATATTTTTTACTCATGAGGAAGCCTTTTGCGTGATTATCACTGAAATTCAAAAGTTTATGCATTTAAGTAGAATGACAATGTTTAAATAATATATTATAACTGCTGCAACAGGTCTAGCTTTTTTAGTGGCTAATTATTTCCAAGCACTTTAAAAACAATGTATACTTTTCCCATAACAATTTATAATCTGCAGGTTGGAAATGCATTTATCTCAGTTGTATTTATATTGTATGATTTTGAGTTGGGAACTTACAGACAGCAGCTTCAAGTAATAATTGCACAGACTGTGGTAGCCAATACCTGAGCTCTAAGAATGCAGTCCAATGGGAGATCATGTCACTGAAACTATTCAACACTCAAGTAAGATATTGTAAAAAACTCTTCTTCAACCAAAATAATAATAGCAAAGGCCACAGATTATTGTGAAAAGAAAATTAATCTCTTCAGGATGCAACGAATAGGAAGCAATTATTGAAAGGTGGCAACAATTATTAGAGTAAATTATATGGTTAAGGAGAAATGTATATATAATATTTATTACAGATTTTACATAGATCAACTTGGAACATGTATTTTTAAAGTTAGAAAGCAGAAAAAATTAAAAAGTACAAGAAACAATACAATTAGAGAAAGAAGAGGAAAAAAGTTAAAGATGAGACTGCCAATCTTTTTTTGTGACAGTTACAAACAGATTATCCTTTCCCTCTTGTGGGAGGGCAGCACCCCCCCAGAGAAAGAAATATTTGGGGGAATATTAAAAAGCAGAATATTATATTTCCCAAAGGAATACAGTAATGGAGAAAGAAAATCTTAAAAGACAGAAACCAGCCCCCAGAAACCAGTCCCATTCTCCCCCAAGCAGAAATTCAGAAACCAGCTTTCACAAATGCAGATTTGATAATCCTATTCAGAAAGGTTGGAGCCAGGAAGCTTGGAGCTGATGAGATTAGAAAGACAAAGACCCCTGAAATCTACATTTCCACCCAAATTCTAAGGACAGGAAACATGGCCTTTAAGACATAATAGGATTAACCCACCACCATCAAAATATCAAAGCTCAGAAGCTCAGTCAAAGTTCATGCCACAGGAACAGGAAGAACAACTCCAAACACAAAAGCCTAAGAAGGTATAAAACCCCACCACTCCCAGCAACATGTGGTCAGCTGCTCCAGAGCCTCATGTCTTGTGGCTCTGCTCTTCAATAAACTATAACTTTCTTTCTAAAGCAGTCTCCATTTTGTTTATCCAGCTTGGACTGGACTCAGATAAAGATTTTTCTTTCAACATTCTCTTTAAAATTATGCTAGAAAAATTCCTTCATTCAATCCTTTATTCAGTCACCAAATCCAGAAATCACCATTTCACACCCCCCCGATTTTTAGCAATAAATAAATAATCCATACTTTTTCCAGATTTTTATAAAGCTACTGGTTGCTTCCCCCCCCCCCGAACAAACCAGTCAGTTTTTCTGCTAATTATATCATCTTCCTCCATTGTGATTAAAGAGAAATTTTGTTTAGGCATTTGTCATTCCAAATTCTGTACATTATCTGTCAATTGAAATGAAAGTGTTTAGTACTAGGTGAAACAAAGTGAAGTGAAATGGAGTAATTAAGTATGTAAGTTTTGGGATGAATTCTCTCAATTTTATGTCATTATCCTTTATCAAATTACACAGTAAAGAATCCAAGTACTCTAAGAGTTTTAATACTGTGTAAAATTGTGCTATTGAAGTTTTTTTCTTTTTTCTTTTTGCTTCTGTGTTGTCTGTGTGTGTGTGTGTGTGTGCACACCTTCAAGTAATTACTGAATTCTGGAAACTTCCTGGATTAGTCTCTTACTTTCCTTGGTTCTCCCTAGGGATAAGACAGACTGATTAGCCCAAGGTCGCTGAGCAGGTTTTGTGCCTGACAACTCTCAATCTCCTGATTTCTAGCTGGTGCCTTAACGGCCATAACTCACTGGGTGTCACTGAATGTATATTGAAACATACTTTATACCAGAGGTACCCAACCTTTTGGGCACCAGGGACCAGTTCTGTGGAGAGACTGGAGGGTGTGTGGTTTTGTGTGCTGCCTGCATCCCGTGGATGGGGCTTTGCTTGTTTATGCAGATTGATTGCTGGCATGCCATGGCCCAATACTGGTCCACGGACTGGGGGTTGGGGACCCCTGCTTTATACTGTTCCATATATTTCAGAAAAGAAGAGAGACAGCAGCATTGATGATAAAAAGTACAAAACTATGTATCATTCCTGCTCTGCAGGTGGTTCAGTCTATTATGTAAGGCAAGAGTAGGATAACTGGATCTAGTTTTTTTGGGGGGGATCTTTTGAGTACAGCCATGATTTAGATCAGGAAAGGGTACAGGAGGAAAAGGCACTACACTGCTTCTCAAGCACCATTTTTCAGATCTTTTAAAACAGAGCCATGAGGTAACCAGAACAAAACAAACAAATAAATAACTATCAGGCGGTGTTACTCCTAGAAGTCTGATAAGCATTTCTTCTCTTCCCCACAAGTGAAAACTTTTTGGGAGGATACTTCTATTACCTTCCTTGTGTATATTTATCATAATTCTCATCTTCTCTCCACTCCCTTGCCCATAAAGAACCAAAGACTTTACATACTGTTCAGCTGACTCATAGAACAAGGATCTGTATCCCGCTCAGAAGCAGGGGGACAGTTCCCGGATCTCCAAGAATCCACAAAAAGAGGGGCAGTTCCTTCAGTAATATCCATGCTGGTCATAAAATCATCTGTGGTTTCTCCGTTGTAGTTACCACATAATCCTGGTGAAATGAGAAGATAATAATGATAAAAAATGATATTTTTAAATATATATCAGTAATGAAAAAACCTCTTATTGATTCCCATGACAGGCATACTTTGTTCCTTTCCTTTAAAAAAAAACAAGCTTTGTTACATATCGTTTGGGCATTAGTACAGGTAGTCCTTGACTTACAACAGTTCATTTAGTGACCATTCGAAGTTACAGTGTTATTGAAAAAATGACTTATGACCGTTTTTTATACTTATGACCATTGCAGCCACCCCCATGATCATATGATGAAAATGTGCAATGGACTCATATTTATGATGGTTGCAGTGCCTTCTGCAATCTTCTGGCAAGCAAAATCAATGAGGAAACCAGACTCACTTGACAGCCATGTTACTAATTTAACAACTGCAGTAATTCACTTAAAAACTGTGGCAAGAAAGGTTGTAAAATGGGTAACATTTATTTAACAAATGTTTCACTTTGCAACAGAAATTTTGGGCTCAGTTGTGGTCGTAAGTCGAGGACTACCTGCATGTGTAATTTCTTGCTTGCATCAGATATATTTCATAGAGTACTTCAGTAACTAAAATAGTTTCTACTCAAGAACAGATGCATGTTGCCATTGTTTCCAAATCTTACTAACGGTAGTACAGAAGCCTGCCTAATAGGTCAGTGATATCGTTGATCATTATCAATGCTTGTCACCGTTGGAATATGTCCTCAGGCCATATTAACTTTCATTCCAGTTCTTTTTTTTTAGTTGGGATAAAATATATATGCAAGAATTTAGTTTGCTTAATCAAACCTAAGCTGAACCTTTGTTGAGAAGGGAAGTTACACTATACATATGCAGAGAAAGGTGCTTCTATCGAATAGAATTTCATATAATACAGATAAACTCAGCTGAGCACAGCATCCTTAGGGCAGTCCCTAAGCAAGATGTGTACCCAGAATGACACATGAAGTGGCATTTTCCTTATTTGCATTTACACAGTGCAATCTAGATAATCACATTTGGTAGCTTAGTTCTCTTTGAGAACTTTTCTTATTGAGTTATATAGAACATCCTTAGCACAAGCGATCCCAGTTTGACTCCATTGCTTGTGACACTGGCTTTGTCTTTACACAGGTTATGATTTAAATAACCTTATGCTTTTGTTTTCCGTGTAACAAAACGTTTGTCTATGTGTCTATGTGTGTATGATTCTGTTTTGTTCTATTGAATGTGTGTGAGTTTGTGTCCCCCCTCTCTCTCATTTATTTATCCTATATACAGTACACACACACACACACACACACACACACACACACAAAATCAATATATCAGTCTCAAAACAAGGAGACAGTGAAGAAAATCAGAATAACTTCTGATTAATAACTATTGGCAATGCTTTCAACAATCTAGGTTTCCCTCAAGTTTGCCACAGAAAATCTACCTGTACATTCACCTCAATTTTGTGTGGCTTCCAAATTCAGTAAAGAAATCCCTGTATGAATGGCTTGTTCCACAGATTTGAACTGATTTGAAAGAGCATAGAGATGTTAACAATAATGGTATCTACGTTCAAATCTCAAAGGATATTCTGAATCAAAAGGTTCATTTATTTGCATTAATAGAAAATAAAGCTCTGGAAATTCTTTCCCAAACATGATTATTATTCTAGCTTTCAGGCAAGGAAGTCACCAATCAGGAAAACTGTTTACCTCGGGTTGTGCCTCTGAAATGGCGTCCAACTTTAATGTAAATTTGAAGTACTGTATCAGTGTGAATTAATATCTCCAGCCCATAAGAAGTGTGCATCTGGATGTGAGTTGATGATTGTCTGAAGATGGTGATGTCCCCTAAAATAAAATAGCTTACATAACCAAATTATATTGAATGCAGTTTATCTATTTAAATCTTGATTTAAACTGAACATAAAACTTTTTGCATTGCTTTTAAGCTGTGTTTATTTAAATATGCATCCCACCTAGCTGGAATAGAATACATCTTAATAAAAATAACATAGAAAATATATACAGGTAATATGCACAGTGTTGGCAAAACCATCAAGTTATTGAATGCTTGTTCTATAATCTCCCTTCTCTTACCTGATGTATAAGGTAACCATTTAAGTTCATTCTCATCACCGAATACTTCATTCTTGGAAATCTTAATTTTCTCCTGTGCATAAAACAGAATCCTAATTAGAGGCCAGGCTCTAAGACCAACAAAATAGTGAACTTTTCTATGACTACATTTAGAATATATGTAAATAAAATAGCCTTCTCCAACCAAATCCATCAAATTTCATATATTTTTAGTATTTGCACCTGAAACCTTTTCAATTTTGTGAAAGAATTATATCTTATGATATTTCAGAGAAAAATGCTAAAGTTTGTGAGATTGTATGACCACACCAGGGACAATGCAAACCAATTTTGAGAACTACTCCATTGTTATTTACATAATAAAGTCATAGTTAAACAAAACATAGCTTTGCATAATGGTCAATGCTTCAAAGACTTTTTCATATCATTATTTTTGCTCCCAGGCACACATATTTCTCTCACCTTTCACTCTGTTCTGCACTCTGTGTATTTGTATCTGAAAACATTATCCACCACAAAGTAGACTGAATGTTAATGGGTCTGATAATGTTCCTATGTTATAATAGCTATATTTGATTATATTTGTACATTCTCAGGTGAAATATTATCAGTGGGTTGCATACTTACTTTTTCTGAGATATAAATGATAGCTGCCAAGGATGTCTCTGTAGGGGTCGTACCAGACTTTTCGTATACAGCCATTAAAGTTCCATTGTGTGGTAACATGGAACTCTACAAGAGAAAGAAATGCAATTGTTTGTAGAAGGAGAAAAAAAACACACCTTCTTTCACTTTGCTATCACTACTCTACCACATTTATATGTTGTGTTAAATGTTTGCATTTTATAAAATCATGCATCATTTTGCAGAAACAGTCCATATATTCATGTTCAGGATGGAGCTACTGTGCAGGGGATCCTGGCTCACTGGACTAAATACATTTGTGAACACATTTGTTTCATTCATGTTTTACTTTTTAATGTCCAAATGAAGAAAGGGATAGTTCAAACTAAGCCTTATTTTAGCTTCTATTTTGGACTAGTCTTTTCTAACAAGAGGGTACACATTCCACAACTGTGAAGAAGAGAATGAAGAACAGAACTGCAGCTTGATGGAAACATAGTTGCAGAATTTAGGCATACTATGAATGTGTTTAAATCTCCCCAAAGAGATGGACACCATCTGATTTAACTTGGCTAGACAATAGGCAACAAGAAAGATGACTCGAGGTTAGTGTTGCCCCTACGGTCAAAAGGTAGAAGAAAAGCTATATGAGTCTAGACCAGTCAGGCTGATATTGATACCTAGTGAGATAGCTTCAGTTTTTTAGAAAGCTGTATTGGCAGATCTTAATAAAAATGTCATTCAGCCCTTTAATAGCCATATGGCAATGAGAATAGAGAGCCAATCTGGTGGTTAAGGCACCAAGCTAGAAACTGGGAGTCTGTGAATTCTTGTCTTGCCTTAGGCATAAAGCCAGCTGGGTGATCTTAGGCCAGTCAGTCTCTCTCAGCCTTAGGAAGTAGCCGATGGCAAATCTCTTTTAAAAATTACAGGGACTTGTCCAGGTAGTCATCAAGAATCAAGACTGGCTTGAAGGCACACAAACACAAAGAACAGCACAATGGGAATAATGTAATAGAAATGACTATGTCATAAAGAAAATTTTTGGAAAGAAGTCAGTGAGGGTGAACAGGGGCGGGGGAGGCGGGGAAGGAGAAGAAAAGAATATATGGAAAGAAGACTGTACAAGAAGGCCAAGTCAGATTACATTGTCTTTTAAGAAAGAGAACAAGAAAAGGAGAAGGAGGAACCAATGATGGTTGAAGGAGGAGGAACCATTGGTGGAGGACATCAAATAGGCTTTAAAATAGCTGGCAAAATAGGAGAGTTCAGGGAAATCCCTAATAGAGATTGTAAAGGGGACTGACATGGAAACAATAAAGAGCATGCCAGGAATATGGAAAAAGTACCATGGCCCAAAGAATATAGAGAAACATGGAAAACATTTCTCTACATCAGTGTTTCCCAAACTTGACAATTTTAAGGCCTGTGGACTTCAACTCCCAGAATTCCACAGCCAGCAATGCTGGCTGTGGAATTCTGGGAGTTGAAGTCCACAGGCCTTAAAATTGTCAAGTTTGGGAAACACTGCTCTACATCGATAAAAAGAGAATCTTAAAGGAATGTTCTAATTAAAGGTCACTAACCCTAATACCACATACAACAAGATACTTTTGAAAATGTTAAATGATGGATGAAATTAAAGATAGTAGCAGTTGAACAAGATCTTTAATACGCAAAATACCTTCAAAAGGATATAGGTGCAGACACCATGGAACCTGTACGGTTTGGAATCAAAAGTGGTGACAAAGGAGCCTCCTTCCAAAGAACATGTGCCAGGGCATGGTTGTTCTATACAGGTCCATTGGCCCATTGTGCATTTACTGGTGGAAAGAAATACACAGGTCAGCTACTCACCAAGTATTAAAACTTCCTCTTTCTGCAACAATATTTTGAAATCAATAGACCTTAAGCAAGAATCATCAGGAAAAATCAAATAGGCATCTAAAGACAAGAATAATTGAATAATAATCCATCGAGCCTTATTCAGCCATTTTTAAACAAAGTAAATTTGTAAGCAGTATGGGGTAGCCCTTTGACATTATATGTGTGACATCAAAGTATCCTTGACTTTGTCTGTCCAGTATTATCTTCTGTAGACTGAGTTGCATAAATTCCTGGGAGAGAATATTTTAAATTTGAGAATGGATGGAGTAGATAAAGCTTATAATGTACAGAGTTTAGTACTGTAATATGCAAACAGAGTTAAGTTTTCCCACCAACTTCTAGATTTTTAGAATAGAATAGAGCTGGAAGGGACTTTGGAGATCTTCTAGTCCAGCTCCCTGGTCAAGCAGGAGAACCTATAATATCTCAGACAAGTGACTATCTAGCCCAGACATGTCAAACTCACAATGTCACGTGACATTGCATGACGTATCGGAGCTTTTCCCCCATTGCCTGCAATTGGGTGGGAGCGTTTTCTTGTGATGCATCTGGCCCGAGGGCCGGCACCACAGTTTGACACCATTGGTCTAGCCTCTTCTTAAAAAGCTCCAGTGTTTAAAAAGCACTCATGATTTCTGGAGGCAAGCTGTTCCACTAGTTAATTGTCCTCACGGTCAGGAAGTTTCTCCTTAATTCCAGGTTGCTTCTCTCTTTGATCAGTTTCCAACCATTGTTTCTTGTCCTGCCCTCTGGTGCTTTGGTGAATAACATGACTGCCTCTTCTTGGTGGCAGCCCCTCAAATACTGGAATACTGCTATCATGCCACCCTTATTTCTTCTTTTCTTTAGACTATCTAAACCCAAGTCCTGCAGCCGTTTTTTGTATGTTTTAGTCTCCAGGCCTTTAATCATTTTAGTTGCTCTTCTCTGATTTTTTTTCCAAACTCTCAAAATCTTTTTTGTGATATGGTAACCAAAACTGGCTGCAGTATTCCAGGTGTGGTCTTACTAGGATTTTATAAAGTGGTACTAATACCTCATGTGATCTTGATTCTATGTCTCTGTTTACACAATCCAGGATTGTATTAGCTTTTTTGGCTGCTGCTGTACACTGCTGGCTTATGGTTAAGTGATCGTCCACTAGGACTCCAAGGTCCCTCTCACAGTTACTGTTTTTAAGCCAGGTCTCGCTCAATCTGTAGTTGTACCTTTGATTTTTCCTGCCTAAATGTAAAACTTTACTTTTCTCCACATTGAAACTCATTTTGTTGGATGGGGCTCATTGTTCAAGTTTGTCAAGATCTTTTTGAATCCTGAGTTTTTCTTCTGGGATGTTGGCTACTCCTGTTAGTTTGGTGTCATCTGCAAATTTGATGAGTTCCCCTTCTATTCTCTCATCTAAGTCATTGATGAAGATATTGAAGAGTACTGGGCCAGAGACGGAACCTTGTGGTACCCAGTTGCTTACTTCTCTCCATGTGGATGTAGTGCCATTGAGGACTACTCATTGAGTACAGTTTGCCAGCCAGCTACAAATCCATCTGGTGGTGACATTGTCTTTTCCATCTTTTTCTAGCTTACCAAGGGGTAGGTTGTGGTCTACTTTATCAAATGCCTTACTGAAATCTAAGTATACTACGTCCACAGCATTTCGCTGGTCTACTAGTTTAGTCATTTTATTGAAGAATGAAATAAGATTGATTTGGCATGATCTCTTTTTAACAAACCCATGTTGGCTATAATGATTTAATGGCATGTAACAATCAATCAATCAATCAATCAATCATTCCAATGGGATAAAATGTGTGATCTATTATCATTTACTAACTGCAATATTATTCAATAAACTATATTTATTATGTTAATTATTAACAAACTGTGGTAGATGTAGTTGTTTATCAGCCATGAAAAGTAAGTTACTCATGGATGTGATATATCATTTGCAAAATATTCATACTTACAGACTGATCTCATAGTACTTGAAATGCATTAATTCTTTTCTTTTAATAAAATACTATTCTCACTTGGTATAACATAAATACCATTATTGAAATATCAATTATAGATCTTGTAATGATTCTCACCAGGTTCTACAAGTTGCTTTAATGACATCACCAGGAGCAAATATCTTCCCCTTCCATGTGCATGGACACTCTTCAATAGGAATGCATGTTTGTTTTTGGGAAATGTCATTCAAAACAGTGCCTGATAAGAAAAAAAAAACCATAAGAAAATTTAAAGAGAACAGTTTCATTAATCTTGACTGCACAAAGCTTGAGGTTTGGCAATAAAATTATTGCTCTGGAATAAATTCAAGAATGGATACATTTCACTTAACTATCAATATCATACTAAGTTCCAGTTTTTCTACTCATTCTGAATTCTGATTTAGTAAAATGCCAGTCTAGATTGCATCTCTATTCTTAAGCATCAAGGAAGTCTTTTACATAGGAAACTATGAAGTAAAGCGTTTCTGTCTCAAAGTACATAAAGCATCTGATATTACTGTATGCTTATAGTGTTGTAAAAGAATCATTAACTAACTCTGTTTTCCCTAAGAGAAAATGACAAATGCTACTGCTGTTATTTGCTGCTGTACTAATTTTGAGAATCAAGATCCAAATTCTAATTCAAGAGAAATATTCTTCAAATATACTAGAATCACTTCAATTTCTGTGTCGGATGAGGAGAGCACATCTTTCTCCTTCTGTCCTGGCCACTTTTTACAGAGGCATGATTGAAAGCATTTTAACAAACTGCATCACTGTCTGGTTTGGTGGCAGCAGTGCCTCAGATAGAAAGTCCATACAGAGAATGGTAAGGACAGCTGAGAAGATCATAAGAAGTTCACTCTCTGGTATTCAGGATGCTATTTATAAGCACTATGTGCTTAGAGCTCAAAGCATTGTTAGAGACCCCACACGCCCACTTTATGGTCTGTTTCTGTTGTTCCCTTCTGGGAGGAGGTTTCGAAGTATTTCTAGCAGGACTACCCAATTCTGCAATAGCTTTTTTCCCTATGCCATGGGTCCCCAACCCATGGGCCATGGACCGGTAGCCTGCTGGCCACCAGGCCATGGGACAGGCTGGCAAGTGCGCAATTGTGTGCGCACACACACACACCACTCGTGCTAGCCACAGCTGTGGGGCACAAAAATATGCCATTGCTGTGCTACAGGGCACAAAAATAAAATTCTTGACATGCTGCAGGGCACAAAAATGGGCCACTGCGGTGCTTCAGGGTGTAAAAATGGGGCACCGTGCTGCAGGGCATGAAAATGGTATGCCACCACACTGCAAGGTGCAAAAATGGAGTGCTGCGCCATGCAAGAACGGGGCAGGGCTACAGTAGCATCATGGTTAAATCAAAGTACTCTAAACCCAGTGCTTTTGCTGTATAAGATTGCTGCCTTTCTAATAAGATATTGCAGAGGTACAGGTAGTCCTCGACTTACAACAGTTCATTTAGTGACTGTTGAATGGACTTAAAAAAGCGACTTATGATCATTTTTCACACTTATGACCGTTGTAGCATCCCAATAGCCATGTGATCAAAATTTGGATGCTTAGCAACTGGTTCATATTTATGATGGTTCCAGTGTTCTGGTGGTCATGTGATCCCTTTTTATGACCTTCTAAGAAGTAAAGACAATGGGGAAACCAGATTCAATTTCACAACCATGTTACTAACGTAACAACTATAGTGGTTCACTTAACAACTGTGGCAAAGTAAGGTTATAAAATGGGATAAAATTCATTTAACTGTCTTGCTTAGCAACAGAAATTTTGGACTCAATTGTGGTCGTAAAATGAGGGCTACCTTTACTATTAAAATATCCATTACAAGCAGTGATGGGATTCAAATATGTAAACAACCAGTTCTCTGTGTGGATGCCGCTTCTGGAAGTCCATTCGGGACCTAGGCAACAAAAATTAGCTACTGGTTCTGCTGAAGTGGTATGAACTGGCAGAATCCCACCACTGATTACAAGTAAATTCAGGTAAATAACATAAAATTATTTCTTGAAAGGGAGAGAGATCTATTACTATAAACGTTGCATACTGAAAAACTGGATACAAATATGGCCATGCTAACAACTCTGCTATGGTAGTATTAAACAATTAGCAGCTTAAATATATTCATGCCAAGATGATTCTACATATTATCTTCATTTACCTTCTGGACAGAAGCAGCCATATGTACAGTAGCTGGAACAAATGTATTCAGGATTGGAACAAGTCTTGAGACATGGAGAACCACATTCTTTATACTGTTGATTACTTGGACATCTTCCCAGAGCTGCAAAATAAAATAATTTAAAAGATTTCATGAATAAAACAAAATAAAACACTAGATTTACAATGTGATCAATACCCTTAAAGCAGAGGTCCCCAACTTTTTGGGCACCAGGAACCGGTTATGTGGAGAGAGGTTTTTCCACAGACTGGAGGGGGTGTGGTTTTATATGCTGCCTACATCCCATGGATGGGGCTTTGCTTGTTTGTGCGAACTGCTATTGATATCTTCTTTTCTGCTATTTCTATACCTGTGCTTACCTTTTTTTAGCAAGAATACAAGATCCCCTTTTTTAGTGATGACAATCATTTTACCCACCTTTATAAAAGAAGAAACAGTGTCCATATGTTCTTTCATATGCTCATGTTAGTGAAAGAGAAACTACATGATATGGTCTATTTAAGGAAGAGAAGGGTTGCTGTGAAGCCATCTGCATCCAGAGGAGAGTCTGGACACTGTGGCCACAGCTTGACAATGTTGGGCTTATAAAGACAGGCCACTATTGTGATGTCATATTGAGGCTGGCTGCTGGTAAAAGGAAAATAAGCCATTATGACTTTCCCATGACATTGCCTGCCAGAAGGCAAAAGAGCCCTCATTGTGATCTCATCCATATGTTATCTGCCCAATGATCAAGGTCTGGGTGTTGGGAAGGTCTGCTGATATTTCTTGTCAGATCATGACAGCTTTATGGATTCTCATCAGGGTGCTGTTCTCAAATAGAGGGAAGCAATGTCCCCTGAATTACTTGCCTTTTTCATTACAAAGGAGCCTTCGGCAAACATGGACCAAGCAAGGGTATTTCTTAAAAGTTTCCTTCTTACTCTTCCTTTTTCTCAAACCTAGGAACTACAGGTATTTAAATGCTCCACAAATGCAACATTATTTGTCAGTAATTTTTAGGATGTGAGGTGACTGCTTTTTAACTTCACCTTATTGTTGTTGGAACCTCTATTATTCTGATCAATTAATGGAGTTATGTGTCATCATTTGCGGGTAACTACCAACTTGAAATTATAAGAGACAGCAATGAGAAACTATTAAACACGAAGGCTCTATTAAAAAAGAAGTCAGCAATGAAATTATCCCAATATATTAGTTTCTGCGCTCTAGTGGAAGATACGGTGGCGTGAAGTTAACAATTTTTGTTAATGTGCTGATGCTTCTAAACGCACTGGATTATAAATCCCATAATCCTTAATTATATTCCATTATTTCTCCCCAGTATGGACATTAAAATAAATACAATGCTCGCTGGGGTTTTTTTAATTTAGAATTTACCATTATTTAAGATTCATTAGAAAATGTTTTAGCATTAATTTTTTTCTATCCTCAGAGTTGAGGAAACTGCTTAAAAGTATTTTTTTCTTTGATGCTTTTAGATAACCTTTGTCTAGTTCAGTAACCATATCTGCTTAGTTGTCTTGTTGTTTGTCCTTAACAAAGCAAGGAAAGCATACCGAGCACACCAGCTGGAATACTCTCCAAGCCCTTTACCAGAAATAGTCATAGAAAGTGTCTGGATTTTTTTTACAAGCTAATTCAATTTTTCTAAGGAAGGATGTCCATTTTTTATTGTCCTCTAATGTTGCATCTGTGTGTACACTGGGAATCGCAGGGAGGGCTCTGTTTTGGGTTAGGTGACAGAGGGAGGATTGTTTAGAATGGAACAGCAAGTTATATTCAGAGCTGCTGCCCTACTATCTGTCCCATAGAAATGGGTTTGAGGATAGGTGGGGACTAATTTTTTTCTCTTTAACCCTGAATTGGATTCAACACCATTTCTTAGTCTGATCTTTCTTTTGACCTCTTTTATCTTCTGATCAAATTTGGTTCAATTCTGTTCAGTTTTCCAGAGAATTATCTTACTGGTGGGCATGTGGAGTCCCAACTTTCCTTATGTAATTTCTTCCCAACATTCCATTGGGTTGGGAGAAAATATGGCCTGTTCTGTTCATTACTTATATTAGGAGTGGCCAATTTGCATCCCACAGACTTAATACAGCACTAGAACCATAATTTTAACCATTCTAATTAACTAACTCATAACTAACTAACTCATAATAGATTTATTAATATTTAAATGCATTATATTTAATAATTGGCCACAGTTTTACCAATAAGGGGAAAAGTTTCCACATAATGAAATAGGAGATTCTACTCTCTGAGTGCCACATTTATGGGAAAAATTCCTAAAAATTCCTAGGTTTGATGAATCCACATACACACTTGTGAGTTTGTATATAGGTGAAAAAGATTACCTAATAATAGTAATCAATGTGTGAAATGTATTAAATTGTTGAAAGCAATATAGTTACTTATTAAGTTGTACAACTTGAAAAAGATAACTTGGAATGCTAATGTCGTACCAGTCTGCTGGTCACATAATTGCTATGTTAGTTTGCAGAATGACACAACTTCCCAAGCTCATTCCAGCTCTTCTAAATCAAATCCAAAGCCTTAATATATATAATGATGAGAGTGTTTTGTGTTTGAACATTTATCCTTGCCACAGTTGTATTATGAATATAATATTTGAATATTTGAGGGGCTGCCAGAAAGAAGAGGGGGTCAACTTATTTTCCCAAATACCAGAAAGCAAGACAAGAAACAATGGGTGGAAACTAACCAAGGAGAGAAGTGGGATTATTAGGTGGGATCCATTCTATGACCCTGTATACACACACACACACATACACATGGACTAGGAGTGACATGATAGCACGATAGAAGAAACTGGACAGCCATTTGTCTGAAATGGTATAGGATTTCCTGCTTGAGCAGGGGGTTGGACTAGATGACCTCCAAGGTCCCTTCCAACTTTACCATTATCACTATTCCAGTATATGAGGGGCTGCCATAAAGAAGAGGGGATCAATTTATTTTCCAAAATACCAGAAGGCAAGACAAGAAACAATAGACAGAAACTAATCCAGGAGAAAAGCAACTTGGAATTGAGAAACTTCCTAATAGTGAGGACAATTAACCAGTGGAACAGTTGCCTTCAGAACTTGTAGGTGCTTCATCATTGGAGGTTTTTAAGAAAAGTCTATCTGAAATGGTATAGGGTCTCCTGCTTGAGCAAGGGGTTGGACTAGAAGACCTCCAAGATCCCTTCCAGCTCCATTCTGATTGATTGAATGCATGACAATCCATCTTTCTGAACCCTAGACTATTTTAGGGAGGATATAAAAATTGGCTAGCCTTGATTTACATCTATACCTTGGTAATAAATCCAGGCAATAACCACTAGTGGAGCTTGATAAGCTGTCAAGACATGCTGATGGGAGTGGGCAGTGATGAAAAGAAACACAGCAAAGAGGTAAGAAGTAATCAAAGGCAAAATCATCCAAAAATAACTATCAAGAGAATATGCAACTATAAGGAACAGCAGCAGAAGAAGAACTATTAACAGGGAAAACATGCTTGATTCTTTTCTTAAATTTTCTTTTCTTAATTCACATCATTATTAGAGTGCTATTTGCAAACAAAGCACAATTTCAGAGCATTGATGCTAAAACTTACTACCAGCATGGATAAGTAAGGTGTAAATGATTGAACGTACAGCAGAAATCATTGGTCCTCCACTTGGTCACCCCTTGCTGAGACATGGAACACTGCCGTGAGTATTCTGAAAGAGTAGCACAAGTACAGTTGCTGTGTCCTGGATTGCTACAGACTTGCATATCCAGCTGGCAACGGATAACAAACCCTTTTTTTGAAATGTTGCAAGACGGTGACACAAGGCGTAACAGTTGGAAGCAAAGTGTGGCCTAAGAAGAAAATAAACAAACATAGTCTCAGTCTAGTGATGCACGTTGTCAATTTTGAAGATTACCTCATATCTCAGTGGTGGGGAACCTATGGCACGGGTGCCAGAGGCAGCACTCAGAGCCCTCTCTGTGGGCACGCGTGCTGTCGCCCCAGTCCTAGGCCTTCAGCTGGGTTTTATAAAACTTTTTCACTTTAGGCCTCTGCTGCCGTGTGCAAAAAAAAAAAGAAGATTCAATCAATGAGTCAATTTCAACTTCTCGCGGGAAAAAAAAGATCTTGCAAAGTTGGAATTGATTGATTGAACTTTTTAGTCCCACCCAGTCTGCCATTACCACAGCAGCCATGCCCACCCAATGGGCCACACCCACCCAATTGGCCACACCCAGCCAATGGGCCACACCCACCCGGCACCCGACAATGCATAAGTGGGTTTGGGGTTGCAGTTTGGGCACTCGGTCTCTGAAAGATTCGCCATCACTGTCATATCTCATCAAGCTACAAATATTTAGTAGTATAGGCTCTATGGTTTAGGCTAGACAGATTGCCACTCTTGGGTTTCAACTTGCTCCTGGTCTTGTCTGGTCGACTTCTAGACACAGAAAATAGGAAACAATGCTTTCCCTTTCATATCAGCAAGAGGAGTCAAAATCACAACATACATTCAAAGCAGAGTATTTGTGGGATCCTTTTTGCTTTTGGGTGGTTTTCTTACAGATATTTCTTTACCAAACTAGGTTGTCTGCAAGAAAACTACCAAGCTCAGAGAGCACTAAGGACCGTACATTTCAATCTTGAGCTACAAATATTCTCTTTTATCGATAAGAATATATATTTTGTCTGATTTCCTATGCTAGGAGGAAAAGGGAAACCTCCTACTTAAACTAGAGCAGGACAAAATGGGGAACTAACTGAGAGAAGATGTAATTCCACAACAGATGGAAAGCAAAAATTAATGAAAAAATTATTTAATAGAAAAATGGTACATTAACATAAGAAGTGCCTTCCCCCAATCCCTTTCAGATGCATGGGGCAGTCTATTCTTGCTTGTTCAAATGTGTAATATTTCTTTAGCATGCCTTTTTCACAAGGGAATTTAAATATAACATAATAATAACATAGTGCTTACGTATTTCTTTTGAGGAATATTAGGAGTCATCATCCCTTCAAAAGGACAGATCTCTGCAGGATCATCAATTTTATATAAACTTGCATATTTATATGGCTCCAGAAGAGTACCTGTGAATTGAGATGTACATGTCACAGAATTTGACTGAAATGAGTTTTAAAGAATTCTTCAGTCAGCATGGCTGGTTGGAGAATTCTGGGAGTTGAAATCCATACCTCTTCAAGAGGTCAAGGTTGAAAAATACTGCTCTAGAGAGGAAAATTGACCGTTTGAAATATTTTGGGGCTTGGGCAAAGAATGATAATTTCAGTCTTTCCCATACCACTTTTTTGTGTTGCATTCTGTAATTTTTTCCCATAAGCACAATACCTGTAAAATCCAAATCAGTTACTATTAACTCGTTAGTTTTACAATCCAAGATAAACACTGTCAACCCAGCTGAGCATTTCAAATCCTGAATTATACAGGAAGTCCTCTACTTACAACCATTTGTTTAATGACCGTTCGGAGTTACAACGGCACTGAAAAAAAGTGACTTATGACTATTTTTCACACAGTCATGTGATTTGGCTGCTAGGCAACTGGCAAGTATTTATGATGTTTGCAGTGTCCCAAGGTCATGTGATCACCTTTTGCCACTTTCTGGCAAACAGAGTCACTGGGGAAGCCAGATTCACTTAACAACTATGTTACGACTGCAGTGATTCACTTAACAGCTGTGTCAAGAAATGTCATGAAATGGGGCAAACCTCACTTAACAACTGTCTTGCTAAGCAACCGACATTTTGGGCTCAGTAGAGATAAGTCGTGATTGTAAGCTGAGGACTATCTGTACTTAAGATAGGACCTCTTCCATCCCCCTCCTTCCTGAGCAGGACCTATAAATTAAAAAAAAAGTCTAGAAATCGTGTAATTATATTTAGTATCACCATCTTATTAGATAGTTTTCTCTAAGTAAGAAGCTGAGTAATTTCTTCTCTTTTAGGAAAAAAAAATTCTTAGAAATACTTTTCTAAAATGTCTTGTATGGACAGAATGCTCATATTACACTTCTGGTTTGTGAGTTGCTTTGGTTGCCAGTTTGCTTCCAGGGGTGACTCAAGCTGCTAGCTGTCACCTAGAAAGCCCAATATGGCCTAGGGCCTGATTATTTTGGGGAAGTCCCTCAGCATCTGTGCGGCCAATTTGATCTGGCATGCTCCAGGTTCCCTCAACTAAGTAATGCCATCAATTGGGACCCCACAAGTGAATCTGACCTCTGGAATGAGGTTCCCCCTCAAGATCCAAATGGCCCCATTCTGCTGGTGTTTTGAAGAAGCTTGAAGATTTGACTCTTCACCCAGGCCTTTGGTGGGGATGACTGGAGCTTCCTTTCAGTTTAGTTTTTTTTGTTTTCTTTTATTTTCACCTGGTTCTTTGCCTTGTTCTTCATGTTTTAATTGATAGAGTTACTAGAAGTTATAATAAATAATAATAGCCATACCTTCACTCACAAACTCATTCAACTCTTGCCCATCAAAATTTCCACACAGTCCACAAGTCTTTGCCATATATTTCTGTTCAATTAAAACCTTAAAAAAGGGAAAAGAAAATCAATTAGAAAATAACTATGCATGGCCTCTTGGTAATATAGCCATGTTGTTTAGTAATAGTAATAGTAGTAAAGTTGGAAGGGACCTTGGAGGTCATCTAGTCCAACCCCCTGCTCAGGCAGGAAACCCTACACCATTTCGGACAAATGGCTGTCCAGTCTCTTCTTAAAAACTTCCAGTGTTGGAGCATTTACTGCTTCTGGAGGCAGGCTGTTCCACTGATTAATTGTTCTCACTGTCAGGAAGTTTCTCCTTAGTTCTAGGTTGCTTCTCTCCTTGATTAGTTTCCACCCGTTGCTTCTTGTCCTGCCTTCAGGTGCTTTGGAAAATAGCTTAATTCCCTCTTCTTTGTTCTCCTCTCAGCTATGAATTATAAAATTTATCGAGTAATACCATTTTGATCAGTGGAACGCACCTCTGAGCCAATCCAGACAGCAACATGCCTATTACAATGTTTGCTAACCAAATCATGGGCTGCAGTCCAGGTCAGTCTGACCTATGCTGCAATATTAATAGTGAGGTGCTCCACAATTAGCAGAAAAATCTAAGAAGCCATCCTGCTGTGACACCCTAAATGATTAACAGATTTATGCAGTGGTGGGATTCAGCCAGTTCGCACCAGTTCATCAGAACCGGTAGCTAATTTTTTGTTGCCCAGGTCCAGAATGGACTTCCGGAAGCGGCATCCACACAGAGAACTGGTTATTCACGTATTTGAATCCCACCACTGGATTTATGCCACAGTAAATCTGCTGATCGCATATGACTTCTGTTTGTTCTTGCTTTGTCAACCTAGTACAGCCCCTCCTCTGGAATTTGTCATCAGGTGTTCTTTCCCAACCACTGTTTTTTTTTCAAGAGGAAACAGATGGTCACTTACCTTGCATTATTGCCTTGTATTATTGCTTGAACATGTTCAATCTGGCAGCACTAATTAAATTAGATGTTGTCATTCGGGACGTGGTCCATAGTGGACAATTAGACAGGATATTTTAAAATAGCAACTAAACTTCTCTCTTCATCTTCTAATCTTTTTTTCATTACCAGGTTACAATAAAGAGCAACACTTTATATAATAAAGTAATTTATATAATTACTTCTGATAATCTTTTTCAGAAGGTCTATTTTATTATTCCTAAAGAAAGTTCAGAGCAGTCCATGAGATCCATAATATGGTGCCTCCCTAACTTCAAGTCTCAATGTGTTCCTGCTTCTATTGAATGCAGAGTATTTCTTTAGTTATGACTGTCAACTATTATTGGATGTACCCTTAGATTTTAAATAATACCTTTAAAACAATGTGTGAAATTTGGTACTTTATATAAATGTTGACAGCAGAGCTCCAGTAATTGTTGCTTTAAAGAATTGGCTATTTGGAATAGAAGACTTTGTAGGTGTGTGTGTGTGTGTGCGCGGGCGCACGCACGTTTGCACAGTGGTATGCATAGAAATAAAAACATGTTTTAGCCTTCCTTTTCTGCTATTTTTCACTTGCAATTCTTCTGGCCAGCTTCATTGAGACAAATATTCGGATTGGAAGGTTCATAGCCAGAAATTCCAAGGACACTGCTCTGAGGAAATGTATTTATTATTAGAAAAGTCTTTAATCACGATAGAACAACAGCTACTACAAACTCTATGCTTTAAGCTCTCTCTGTTGCAATCCCAAGGCTCAAATCCTGCATCTTGTCTTGACATTGTATGGGATGAAGAGCCATCCATTTCATTGAATGAGAGGCAGTTCATATTTGTATGTGGTTATTGTAATGGACCATCCGGGCCTCAGGCTTTTTATTTTTGGCTTTCCCTGCTCTGATCCTTATGGACACACACATTAATTGGAAGGTTGTTGAGAAAGGAGCGAAAGGCAGAGAAATGTTACCAATCTCTTCCCTTCTACTTTTCCTCTCCTGCCCAAGCTGCTTTTCTCTCAAATAGCAAGGTAGAGGAGAAAAAGAGAGGAGAAAGAAAGCTAAATAAGTGAGAGAGATGAGGAAAAATGGAATAGAAAGATTTGAATGAGTGGGTATGAGTGACAAGTATGGTGGGTGACATAGTGAAGTTATTGTGCTTGTTTAATTATTTTAGTTTATCTATATTACTCTTTTGAATGAGGATGTTTTGCCCCACTGGTGGCACATATAGATATAGTATATAAAGCAGACTATAAACAGAGGCCTGTAGGATAATTCCATGTTCTACCCACTTTTAATGCCAATTTTTGACATAATCTGACAGGCCTTGTAACAGGTGAGGTTACCATCACAGAAGTTGCTTATGAGGATCCTGTGGATTGTTGATCAGCTGAAGTTGATTGGTTGGCTGGTTGTTATGGAGATGATTATGTTAAATAGTTCCCAAGGCTTGGGAAAGGAATAGTGAAAGGGTTTTAGGAGGACAAAGGAACTAATGGAGACAACAAGGCAGGTAGTAACATCTGAGTGGTGATGTTACTGAGTGGAAAATTGGACTGGATTACACAGGGAAAAGGCATAATTAATGTTTGATACCAGTTCTCTGCCTGGCCCTCAACATTCAGCCCTGATACTAAGTCACTGGATCATCTGTGTCCTGGTCTCTGGATGGTGCTATTGAATGTCAGTTTGGGGCATTACAAAGTATCCCAGCCCTGCCAAGTCTCAGGAGCAACAACAATGTGTCTATCTGGAATGTATGGTCTATTTTAGTTACAGTGTAAGCTTATTTTCCTAGTTAGGTTTATTTTCTTTTGCTTGGTTGCAAGTGATGCACTTGTTTTTTTTAAGTTTGAGTTGGTTAGCCTTAAAAATATAAATTTAAATAAATAAATGAATAATATAGCTGCAGAAATTATCAGAAAACATACACTGAAATTTGCAAAGAAGCTTTTGAGAAGAATCTTTATGCAACGCAGAGTTCAAACAAACTAAATAGACCTGTGAGCAATTTTTCTTGGAATACCTTGCTTCCTTACCATTTTGCAGGCTATTTTTGGGAACTTCAAATATAGATTTTCCCCCCTCTCTACTGCCATGTTAAGAGTGGCAGCCTTGCACTGCCTAAATGACAGATGTAAAGTGCATTAAAACACCTAATTAAGACAATGGTTGTTAAAACCATTACCTTTGGCTTTACCATTTTCCATTTTCAGCATGTTAAGCAAAGCCAAAGAATGCATGCAAAATAATTTCCTTAATATGTGCCTGGAAGTTTTAGACTCCTAAAATCATGAAAAATAAGAACTTTGCTCACCATGAGATAGTCATCATTGTTCCAGAAAACAGCAAGTTCCATTTCCTTCCGCTTGGATATTAAACGGATATTGTGCCCAAACGGTGCAATCTGAATTCCATTTCCAGTAAATGGCAATTGGATTTTACTAGGGTCAAACATATACATTTAGACATTTTGAGGACTTGTAACTTTGATACTGTATCAAATGATGCGTACTTTATTAGCATTCATATTCAAATATCATTACATTTTCATTCTCTAATGAGATAAAATGAACAGTGGACTTCCCAATATGTTTGAAGCTAAAACCCTGGCAGCTCTAGCCAAGAGAGCTAGGGTGAGGGATGCGGAAGTTGTAATTCAGAAACATCTGAAACATTCACAGGTTCTAAAATAGAAATGTGGGAGCTGGTGTGAAATTGCAACTTATGGTCACATGACATTGCATTTAATGAGCCAGAGGGATTCACTTAATGACTGCAGCTAGAACTGACAAATTGCTGTCATAAACTGGGTACTGTCACATGAGATTTATCATTTTACAACTGTGTCACTTAATGATGAAGTTGCTGGTGCCAATTGTGGTTGGTAAGTGAGGACTACCCACATTATTATTATGAGTGGAATATCCCATTGGACAATGATAAATGTCAGGCCACTTGCAGCTCACAACCCAATGGAGGTCTCAGAATGGCACCGTATGATATGTATAAAGAAAAACTAATATGATTTCTTGCCCTTGTGGTCTTTGGGAGACCCCAAAAGAAAAGGTGATGCTTTAAAATGTTATTTAGCTATAATGGAATGGTGTCTCTGTGGGTGTCAAACATATCAGTCTGATGATGTTTTACATGTGTTCAACACAGGCAGAGCTTGTGATGTGATGGCATGATTATATAAATGATGAAATTTTATTACCCATTGGCAACACATACAAAAACATTTGTGTTACTCATAGTTAGCCCAAACTATGAGAAATGGGATGTACCCTCCACTGAAAGTATACACAGCATGGATCCCCTTCTCAGCATCAGCTGCAGCTTCCCAGCACTTTAATGATGATTCGTGACAAGCACATTAAGTTAGAGCTGAAGCCCAAGGGCACAACTTTGTATAAGATGGTTGCCATGTTCCCTTCGACTTTATAGAAGAAACTTTTGCTTCTATTGGATGCTTACCCATAATCCTTGATTGATATGCCACTTTTGTCGACGATAATAGTATTGGGACCTGTTTGAATGATGATTCTTTCAATTCTTTTGTTCAGACCACGACGGAACTGTATGTTGAAGTCCGGAGAGGTTTCATCACAGACCGTAGCAAAGATATAATTACAAGTCCCCGAGAAATCATACAGGTAGTTGTCAAAGGTTGAGAAATGGCCAGTGCTCCAGGTGGAACAAGAACCCTTGTCCAGAGCTTAAAGAAAGAAAACAATAACGTAATGAGATTCTACGGAGCTTTAGAAATTCAACTGATTATTTAGATACTATTTTCTTTCACTCCCATTTACAGCTGTCTTTTCAATTTTTTTTTGCTTGTTTCTTATCTCAGATTCAAGTCCATGAACCACTGCATGCAAAGGCATAGTGCCCAGGCACTGTATCCAAGTGAAATTTTACTGAGGTTTTCTACATAAACTACAAAGCCCCTTCCAATATTTTTAAAATAGTCCTTTCAAGGATGGAAATCATCTGAACATTTGGAGGGCTAAATACCTTGGCATTTGTAGAAACAAGCAAGTTAAGTTTGAATATTATAGATGAGGATGGTGGTGAGGGAAAAAAAGAACAGAAAGGCCAAGTGAGGCTGAGCTTTAAAGGGACAAGCAAAAAGCCGTGTATTGAACTATGAAGGAATGGAAATGACAACATTGTAAGAATTGAAGAGAGTGTAGTTGATTAGTAAAGGATTAAGTGCATGAGCAGAGCAACAGGCTGTTGAAGGCTGGGTAAAAGGAATGATTGAAGAACAAAACTGCAATCTTTTTGTTTACAATCAAAATTAATTTTAACAAAATGCAAAAAAACCCACCAACCCTTAAATAGTGAAAAATACAGAATTGCTTCCTGGAATGCTGTACATGAGCTTAACTGTTACTCAAAAGCAATGAATGTTTAAATATTTTTCTGTACACTAAGGAGAGAAGTATATTACTTGCACGGATAGAGAAATCGGATGTATACTATGGGACTCTATGGAAGTTCAAGAAAATCCGACAACAGCATTAGCAGCTGCAGAGGCTAGAATGCAGACTTGTTAAACAGTTCAGTTTTTCTTTTTCAATTTCTAGCCCTTGCTCTTGGACCAATAAGCTGGGTAAGTAAGCTGGGCGAGTCTTATTTTATCTGCTTCTAGACTTACAGTGCCCTAACTGCAATACTGGAATAGACATTGATGGGTATTAAAAATCAAGCAAATGAGCTTCATCTGAAACAATGATATGTATCAATAATGCAGGTCACAGAAATCAGCTTTTCTTGGCGTGAGTTGCTTGTGTGATTTTAGCAACAAAAACAAAACAAAACAAAAAAACCCAAGCCCACCCCTATGTATGTATCTGTTTTTTGAAATACTGGTCTTATAGAAATGGGAGCAGAAATACCTGAGTGATGTCCATCTAGATTTCTCTGCCCTTCTGAATGGATCTCTGCAAAAACAGAAAAAAACAGAAGGATGGATTGTATGAATTCTTTATGTTTCATGTCAGAACAAAGGAAATGCTTTCTTCTATTTGGTGCTGTCCAGATGGATCAGGGAATTTTGGGACTTGTCATCCCAAGACATTTGGAACAGAGCTGATTTAGAGAAGACTTGGGTAACAACAGCACATGAATTTTCATGATGACCATACGATCTGCAACTATTTTTGACTTAGTCTAATTCCCTGAAATATCCCTGAATATATAGTATAATAACAACAAATAGTATATCCCAGGACAATAATATAACATAACATAACATAACATAACATAACATAACATAACATATCTTGAAACTGAAATTTCAGAATTTATCTAACAAAGAAAATTAGCTGAAAAGAAAGACTGACTAGTATAGATGATTCTACTATAAAGTGGAGTCTAATAAGAATAATACAGGAAAATATTTCCAGGCATCAACCCTACCCTGTCTGCTTAACATTATTATATCTTTCTGTGGCTCTTCATCAAGGTAAATACAGAGAGTAAAAAGACATCACAAGATTGTACTGTGGGAAACAATCATTGCATAACTAAATTCTACACCATTTAGGCATATAACTGCACAAGATGGACTGATGCAGTGGAAAATTACATCATCCTACCATTTAAGGATTGGAAAATGTAATTTCCCTGTTGCTTCATTCCAATATTTTAAGAAATACAAGAATGAAACAATAGAAAAATAGCATGCTCATATTTTCCGCATCATGGTGTTCCAGAAGAAAAAGCCAAATCTACTAAGATTTCCATATAATGAAAGACACATTATTTATTAATTTATAAATGCATTAAGAACCTGCAACCCCAGGTCTGGATTTGTTTATTTTCTAAAATATTTTCCCATTAAAATGGATTAGCCATGGATATATTTAGAACACCACAGTTGTTTCCTTGTGCTACAAGGCATAACCTGATATTTTGTCCTGGTTACCACTTTTACATAAGTGTTTTGAAGAAGATATTTCAGTTTTCAAGTACTTCCCTGTTGTTAAGTCAGGTATTAAACCACAATAGGTATTGCGACATAGCTTATAACTACATAAACAACTTCCCTGAGAATGAAAATAATGAGCATTTTATATTTAAGTCCTGTGATTTTCGTTCATGAAGTTCTTTTGAAAGTGGTTTAAAATTTAATATACAATTTTATTTTGAATCGTGTTATGGTTTCAAGAGCAAGTGTGATCTGACTTGGATTGGATTGGCCATGTTTTTGAAGAATCTCAACCCTTAGAAATACAGCTTATTTAATATAAAGGCCCTCTGATACCATCATAATGAGACTCTTTCAAAATGTCTAGTTCTTTATGCTATCTTTTAACTTTTTAAGTCTTGATTAGCAAGTTATGGACTCATAATTCAGTCTCATCCTATTGAATAGTGTTTGTCAACCTCATCAATTTTAGGATGCATGGGCCAACTTCCATGATTCTCTAGCCTGCATGAAGAACTCTGGGAGTTGAAATCTGTTTGGGAAATTTTGGGAGTTGAAGTCCAATTTAAAGTTGCTAAAATTGAGAAACACTGCCATAGAACAGAACATGGATTCCCACTGTCCCTTCTCTTGCTTATTTTACTTCTGTAAATATTGAATAGATATATGAGAGAATTGTGAGGCTAATGATTAAAAAAGAAACTTAAAAGTTATGGGCTTTTGCAGATAACTTGGTGTTGTTTCCAGAAGGACATAATTGTCAATACTACTCTTGTTTACAATTGTTAAAAAGGTTTAAAGTTGGCAAAATAATTTATGGATTTAACTATCATAAGATTGAGTTTGAAATAGAATTGTGTATAAATGATCAACATATATCGACTAAAATGTATAATTTTTTACTGAATTATGCAACAGAATGAGTGAAAGACTATATGATAAAGAGGACACTTTTTTGGTTATAATATACAGATGGATCAATGGGAAAATATGTAGCTGAGAGGATTGAAGTTTACATTATGTTATAACCTTAAAGAGAATTTTTATAAGATGACTAGAAAATCCATAACCTCGTCTTTGTTTCAGAGATATTTCCTTAACAGATTCCTCAACATTTTCAACTTGACATATTTTCTAATGTACTGGAAAAGTTCTTAAAAATTAAGGGAGAATTTCAGAGATTTATCTGTCTTGAAAATTGTCCACATGGACAAACATCACAATTGTTAAGTGAACCTGTTGTTTGCTATGAGGCATTTTTGAAAAAACCCAAAAACAAAATAAATGCCGGTTTTCAGCAAAACTTTTATAAATCATGGTCATGTGACCATGACATACTGCAAACAGCCATAAATGTATGAGCTGGTTGCGAAGAGTTCAATCTGAGGCCATCAGAATTTTGGAATTGAGTCTTTTGGGAGAGGTTCTGTCATAACTTTGAATAAATCGAGGACTATCTATAAGAAAGAGAAATCCTATAATAAAGAATCCATGCTCTAGCTTAATATGCATAGATTCTCTTTTTTCTGGAAGATTCATTGACTTTTCTCACTATTTACGGAACAAGTTGCTGAACACTCTTTGTTGGAAATCCCCAGTCTGAACTGAACAGTAAATTATGTTTTATGAGACCCAGATTCAGCATGACTGTTCCTGCCCAAGTATTTTCTCTCTTAGCTCATAACTCCTCCTGTCCAACTTCTCCTGCCCATTTTCCTTTAGTCTTCCTTCTGCCATTGTTAGTTCCACTTTATCAGCGAGATGTCATTTATTTATTTGCTCTTAGTTTCGTCTTATCGTTCTCACAGGAGCTACTGTAAGTGAAAATCATGTTATGTGGGAACCTTGATTTCTATCTCTCCTGTTGCTATATGGCATTTTCCTCAATCTACTTCTATGGTAGATTTCTCAAATGAGTGCCTGGTTAGAGGTTTGATTTTGCTATGTTCCCAGGTCCCTCTTTCCTCTTTTGGAGGTAAAGTGCACTGTGCTGCATATTGCATACTTACATTCTTGGGGTTTCCTACATTGTTTTCTACATTGTTGACATTGGGGATCCATTCCATTAAATGAATATATACATGATTTTTGTATTGCTTCCTTCTTTTTAACATTATAAGCTGTCCAGAGTCCCCTCATGGTGAGATGGGCGGAAAACAAATTTAATACATAAATAAATAATAATACATTTATTAATGCAGCTGGATGGATACATCCCTATATACCTTCCTATGTCCATTGGGCCCATAGAGGAAGTCCTTGGCTTACAACAGTTTGCTTAATGACTGTTTGAAGTTACAACGGCACTGAAAAAAGTGAGTTATGATCCTTTTTTACACTTTTGATCATTTAAGCATCCTCATAGTCACATGATTTACATTCGGATGCTTAACAATGGATTCAGATTTATGACGGTTGCTGTGGTCCAGCATCATGTGACCATCTTTTACGATCTTCTGACAAGCAAAGTCAATGGGGGAAGTCAGATTCCCTTAACAACCATGTTATTAATTTAACATCTGCAGTGATTCACTTAACAAGGTGGCAAGAAAAATTGTAAAATGGGGCAAAACTTCACAAATTTCTAGCAACATAAATTTTGGGCTCAATTGTGATTGTAAGTTGAGAAGTGCCTTTACAGTCCTGTGGCTTCAAGTGACTATTGTTATCTCATTTCAAGTATCTTCCTGACAAATACTTTGTGATCACAAGCTGAGGCTGCTGTAGTGAAATGCGATCCTATTTAGTGGAAGGAGACAATTCTGTATATCCTAAAGACCTCAAGAACTGGAGCAAGAAAAAGCTACTAAGATTGGCAATGACCCATATGCTCTCAGTCAGTCCCAAATGTAAACACACAATTAGAGAGAACCTTTCAGTATGGAGTGATTGAAATGAAAGGACTAGTAGCCCCCCCAAAAATAGATCAGGTTGTACCTGGATAAGCCTGAAACAGTTGAACTGCATTTTAGTTACTGCAGTTAAACAGAATTATTGTTGCAGTTTGACGGCAGAAGCAAAGATTTTCTCAGTAGAGCAGAGGTCTCTGAGCTTTTGGGCACCAGGGACCGATTACGTGGAGAGAGGTTTTTCCATGGACCGGAGGGGGAGTGGTTTTGTGTGCTGCCTGCATCCTGTGGATGGGCCGTTGCTTGTTTGTGCGGCCTGGTTGCTGGCATGCTATGGCCTGGTATCGGTCCATGGACCGGGGGCTGGGCACCCCTGCAGTAGAGGGCACTGATTTTAGTTGGTTTGCTGTATAATAGAGTTAGAAGCAGAGATGCTTCAGGTACAGATGTGTTATGAAACTAAATACAGATTAAGAAACTCCAGTGTACGTCCCCATGAGTGCTATGAAGCCATAAACAGTTCACATGTTTGAATCTTTCACCTTTACTGTTGCCACTCCAGATAAGGGCAAATATTTTTATATTGAGAAAAACATACTGATAGATAAATACAAATGTTGATTTATATTGAGAAATATTGTTGTTTATTTCCACAACATTTTCAACAAGAGTACTCTGGTCTATGAGTGGGCCTCCTTTCAGCAAAGGGCTCAGGACCTAAGAAATATATTCTATGTTAAGTAATTGCCTAAGAAAGCAAGTGACAGTTGGAAGACAGAAGAATGAAATTTTATGGACAGATTGATTGTAGGTATTTCAGAAAAAGCTTCGTTTCAATGATGGAAACAATTTTATTTTTAGAAGTTGCTCAGTAGATGTTAAGAGATTCAGAACTCTCTTGATATAGAAAGAAGAACTCTTAAAGCTGTATATCAGGCCTATACAATAAATTACTATAGCAATTTAAAAATAATTGGAGAATAATAACCTCACTTGCCAATCAGCTGTTCAGTGACTGGTGTAATGGTGGCACACCATAGAGCTAGCAGTGTCAGGCAATCATGAGAGATGCTCAAGCAGTTTTGCTTTTTTGGTGTGGTAACTGTGTCAAAGCCTTCCGGGTGCTGGTGACATTTGGTGTTGATGGTTTTATTGAGCTTTTTAAAAGTGCTGGGTGATGCACAAGGCTGCTTAGAGGGCTGGGTGTGGTCCATGGTCTGTTTGTTATGTAGGCCTGTTATAGAAATCACCTAGTCAATCAAGATTAAAGTGAAGGAAACAGAGCTTCATAATTTCATGTGAACTATAACTTCAAAGAGCATAATTGTCCTGTTAAGACAATTGAATGGCTCAAATATAAAACTAGAGATAATTCTGCAGCCATTTCCTATATTTGACTAATGGTAGCTATAATATTTCTTTGTGGGGACAATTGTGTAGCATGATGACGCTACCCAATCTTGGAACGTCTCTTTGCAAATCAGTTAAAGCTGATTTAGAAACTGATATAAATGTGATTTTTAGAATCTATCTACATAAATTTCTAGAGTCTGGCTTATTTTCAGCTGACTGCTGCAACTGACTACTGACCAGGCTTTAGCAGAAATATTCAGTGCTGCCCAAGATGCTGAACAGTCAATATCCCAGTAGAGAGGCAGAAAATAGGAGTTATATACATGTCACAGTCAGGTAAACAATCAAATAGCAGAGAAGTATCTATCATAATGAACTTAGTCCACTGCATGAAAAAAGTTTGTACAGGGTCTCTCAAGGAAATTGAACCCTAAATATAAGGCTTAAAGAACACTGTCAGTCCCAAATTTAAACACACAATTCGAGAGAACCTTTCAGTATGGAGTAATTGAAACAAAAGGACTAGCAGCCAAGAAAAATAGATCAGGTTGTACCTGGATAAGCCTGAACAAATGAAATGTTTATTCTTTTCACTAGATGATAGCCTTTTGTAACTTCCAATGCTTGATGCTGCCAGTTGTTTTGAGTAAGTATAGTATGATCAGTACTGCACCAAATCAACTTGATTTATTAGACCATATGAGTTTTTCTTTTCTTTTAAAGAGTATCTTTCGGAATTTCTATACCCCTCACTTTTAAAAAAGAAACTGCATTTTTGCAATATTTGGAAGTGTTCCATTTTTATGGGCTTAGAATGAATGTGGCTAAAGACTATATGAAGACTAGCAACAAGGTCTAAAACTTGTATAAAACCAAATGCAAACTATTGAAGTTGAAACGTCTCAGATAAAAGATTATGAGCGAGTCCAAATCTAAAGGAAATGGAAACTATTTAAGCAATCCATACTGCACTGAATTACAGATATTGGGCATCATGTAATTGACTGTGTAGTACAATACAGTGCTTGCATAGTACATGGCCATGAATGTAGTAGTTGTTTGCAACTCTTTAAAGCATCCTTTCCTGGGATTGTATGGCTGCCATGAGTCAGAGATTTAATCTAGAGCAATTTATGGTTTTAGTTAGAAAAACCATCCTCAATGAAAAGAACTAATCATATTAATGTCAGAGAGACTGGAAGAAAACTGAAGTTGACTTTCATATAAATCATGCAATATAACATGACAAGAGATGTTTTATTATTTGACCTCACCCCTTTCTTTGTCCTGCAGATTCTTGTGATAGTGATGCTCATTCCTAAAGGTTTGCTGGAAATACCAGATAAATTTTAGGTCAACTATGTGTAGCAGATGTGAATAATACCATAACATTAAAAACTGCCAACTGCTGCCTGCAAAAAGTAATTTTTGTAGCTGAAGAAATGATAATTTCTTATTGAAATTGCTAGATTGCTAGATTATATGTATCTGTTCTGTTTTTATGAATACATGATTCCCCCCCCCCCAATATCTATTTTTCCCCAGAGAGAGATGTACACTCTTTTTTTTTGCAGATAAGGTTAAGCTTACTCATATTATCTGACCTCACTGTCTACAAGCCAAAGAGAAAGAAGAAAACATGGATTTTAAGTATATTCTTTGCTTGTTTAAGTTATAAAGTAGTCCCATCCATTCTCCTTTATATAACCCAGTACAATTCATAATAGGTCAATGTGAAGCCTGATCATGGAAAGAAACCACTATAGCAGGGGTGTCAAACTCGCCATGTTACATGACGTGTCGACACGTATCACAACTTTTTTCCCATTGCCGGAGCTGGGGTGGGTGCGGTTTCAGCATGACGTATCCGACCCGTGGGCTGGCAGTTTGATGCCTCTGCACTATAGGCTGACTTGAAAGGAAGTTTATGCCTCAGATGCAAAAACAGAAGTTGCCTACAAATTGAATATAATAGCCATCATGCAGTGTGTAAGTTTTGCCAGATTTGCTGACCAGAAGAGAGTATTGGAACTAATAACTGTACAGATACTGTGTCAGATAACCTGATCCTTTATTGCCAAAACATATAAGACACATGCAGTTAATTTCAGAGATGAAGCAGCTTTCACATACAGAAAACACCTAAGCAGGGTAAACTGGCTAAGAAACTAGAACTGTGCAATCATGCAACCATTGGATTGCAAATCCCAAAGAATATTGTTATGTGTAATTTGAAGTGATTGAGGGAAAGAAAGACAGAAGAATTCTTTTCTTTGTGTAAGTAGTGGACTCTTACTTGGATGAATGTTAAGCAGCCATTTAGATTTTTAAAGGTCTTGTGAATGCTCTAGAAATGAAGAATGATATAAACCTATGGTTTATGATAAACTATGACTACCTACAGAGATGCTAAGAAGAAATTGTTAGATAATGAGGAGATGCTACCCATGTGACAACACTTAGTATATCCAGATTAAGTGCTCCTAGAGAATTTTTTAGGGTAGGAATGCCAATTATATCAATGTCCAACTATTATCTAATAACAAGCCTTAATGCTGGGTCAGCGATAAATCATCACAAAAATAGTAGAAAGAAGCAGTAGGTTTAAACTGCAATGGCTGTGAGAACCAACTACATGGTTACATTGAGAAAAAGGCAATCAATTATTTTAAGTGGTTTCATTTAAGGCAAGATTCTTACTTAGCAATGTCACGTTTACTATCTGGGTGGTTTCTGATGAGTTCCTGCAACAAAACTGATAGTTTGATTGCTTTCCAAAGGGAAGAAAGGGGGTGGGGTGGGGTGGGGTAAAGCATTAGATGCTTATTCAAAAGTCTTGATGGTTACTGACATCCAAGGGATGCTGCTGACCATTAACCAGAGAGCCAAAGATTTGCTGTAGTATCAATATGGATGGCTATCTAGATGAACTCTTTAGCCCAGACAAAATAAATAGAACCCAGAAAGTAGGAAAAAACTAGGACTGCACAAGAACCCAACCACACTCGTACCTCATAGTTTGCTGAATAGCTAAATAGCTATTCAAGCAAGTTTACTGGCTTCCACTCCTCAAAGTGAACTGTGTATTCTTCTGAGACTAAAGATCTTCTCACCGAGTGAGTAACTGTGGGTTTCTGCAAGATACACCAATTTTTGAACTGCACAAATTCATTCCTGATTTTGAAGCTATATCATTGACTTGGCTTATTATGGCTTTACCTTTTAAATCAAATTCCAAATTTCCAAACAAAGCTTTGGTCAAATGAAATGCACTTTCATTTCTTTGTAATTCCACCTGCCCTATAGGGGTACAGATTAATGTGTCTGATTTGCTACTTCAATCTGCTCTTGAGTTTCCAGAAAGCAATTTACCCCCTGCATACATGCCAGACAGATGCTGCTAGCTGAACAATACTAAGGTTAGCTTGTAGCCGTCAAGAACTTCTTTCAGGTAAAGCATCATTTGCTGATGTGCTGCCTTATAAAAGTCATGCCTGACCACAAGATCATGGACCACATTTAGATTTCTCGCAAAGCTTAATTAGTGTACAGACAGATAGATACAATTCTTTGATTATCTTCCAAAGCAATATTACATGTGGTACATAGAACCTGCTATCAATCTATGAAACTTCTAAATAAACATATATTCTAAATAAACACAGGCGTGATTACAGATTAGATTGTGAAGTTTAAATCAAACCTGTGCATTATTGTGCATTTCTTCATAGAGCACTTTTAGTGGCTCATTTTGCAATAACCATTAGATGTTGTAAACTATGCAAAATAAATAAATATTGAATTTTCAGAGTGAATTGACTAAAATATTTGAGCAACCAAATCTATGTGTTTGAAATGCTTTTTAGGCCTTAGAACCAACTGTAACTGCACGAGGAGAAAGAGATAAAAAAAGAACAAACACCAAGAATTCACAAACAGGATTCTTGTCCCAAGAACCATATTTGCTGCCAAATTAGGTATGATCATTGGTTTACTATGGCTAAGGATAACCATGACTCTCCCAAACTCTCTGGGCTGCAGAAATATGACCAAGGCCATTTACAATTCAAGTGCCACAGATCCATAACAATACCTAAAGAAATTCCAAGAGACAGAAGGAGGTGGTGAAACTCTATATGCTTGATAATTCAGAAGTCTAATTTATATTCCATAAACTTACCAAATAAATCGTCTGATTGTTCCAAATGGCTCTGATCTGAAAAATAAGGAAAACAAATGATTTATAAAACGGTTCCCATATAACACAGCCCTGAAGACAAAATAAGAAGTATTTTCATAGTAGTCAGAGCTATTTATACAAATCTGTAGGGAATATCAGTAACTATTAACCAATCAGATTAATTTCAAAGATAATATACAGTACCTGCAGTTCTGGGAACAAAGAAAGTTTTCACTGCAAAAGGAATGCCCACTTATAATCTGACCCTTTGGATTGACAATTGAAGACAAAGATTTGCTCACAAAAACTTCACAATACAAATTGAATTGACAAATCTGGATTGAAGATTTTTATAATTATACCAGAATCATTTCCTCAATAAATTCTCAACGTCAAAAGAAGGTTAAATTATTCCAAATAGTGTTATATTTGTTTATGTGCCTATCTATCTGTCTTAGCTCTCAGTCAAGAACATGTATGTTATCCCAGATTTTATATATTAGGAAGGTTATTGCCTGTGTCTCAGAGGCATGAAAAGCAGAAAACAGTTTCCCAAAGTTGCAAAGGGCAGAAGGCTGGGACACTACAGTTCAGTTATTCAACATTGCCTCAATAGATTTACACAGACTACCTTTTTTCATATAACATTGACTGACAGACAGATAAACAAGCAGATTGACTGACTGATTGACTTGAGGTTAAAGTTGGATAACCCACTTGAAAGTATCCAAGGAAAATGCTTTTGGGGCCATTTCATGATCTTACCATTGGAATAGTTTAATGGAAACCTGTTACATTGCCTCCTCTACTTAAACATTTTGACTTCTAATGTTAAAAACAGAACAGCTAAAAACAAACCTCTTGCATATCTTTAAGGGATAGTTGCTGCTGTTTGGCTTACCTAAGCTGTTCACGATGTTGCACAGGAGAACCAGAAATGCCCAAATCATGGAGATGAGTCCTTTCCCCCTCCCCATCCCTGTTGGCTGAAAATTGGCAGGTCTGCTGCTGCCACTTTCTAGCTTCAGATCTTCAAGCTTGGATGTTTTATATGTAGCAATGCAAGTCCCTCCCTTCTTCCTATGCTCTTCCTGAGAGGGCCACAGCTGGACAAAGTGGAATGGCCGCCAAACAGGATCTTCTCTTTATCAGGCTCAGCACACTGAAATGCTATTTAGAAAAAGAGGGGGGGAAACAACCTTCACTTTATTATCTTATTTACTGTAACCTGGGTGGATAGATCTGGCTTAGACCCATTTACTCAAACGCATTTAATTGTATTTACCAGAAAAGTGTAGATCTGAGTCCCGAAGAAATCTAGGTCCATTTAGTCATTGAAGCTGATAGCAGCTGATAAAGCTGAGCCATTCTACATCCTTTTCATAGTAGCTTGCCATAGATTAATTAATTCATCCATTTTTCCTGCGCTATTTCTACACAAGTCTGAGTATTTCCTTGAAGAGCACCACAAGAATTTGTAGGAGAAGGTATGTTTTCACAAAGTATGCATTTATCCTCAATTATTCATTTATATTCGCAGTTTCATACCTCGTGAGCTGAGAACTGTAGAGCTTGGAGTAGAACAAGAATCAAAGGATAATTGTATTACCAGCTCCATAATCCAAGAAATGTGAAGCAGATAATTTCACTTAAGAATGCACACTACAAAAAATTGTCGAACATTCTGCTATTGGCTGAAAATGGAATAATGCTTTTTTTGGCAATACCAATAGCATGAGCAGGAAATAAGGACAGGGAGAAAGAAAGGAGGAAAGGAAAGAAAAAGCAAGGTGCCTTCTTTCCATTGAATTAGACCTTATCTCCTTTAAAATCTCATTCTTTCAGGGTTTATACTTTCACACTTGGTGGGAAGGAACATATTTCAGCTCTGAAGAATGATATTTGTTTACAGGATGAGGTCTGTCAAAGAAGAATTACGGGGAACATACTTCAATTCATAATGGTGTAATGAAAGTTTGATTAAATGCAATTCCATTACACAAACTACCATAAAATCGCTCTGTCCTAGTCCCATGCAAATGAATGTGAGGTGTGTTCTTGGGCAGCTCCCATCCTTTTCAGTGAGCTTCATGAAGCAGAACTGGGTGGAGATTTTCTTTCTTTTCTTTTTTAAAAAAATCTAGTATTCAAGCTTTCTTTTTTGTTTGCTAGTAATTAAAAGGGATGGATAGCTTCACACCAATCTTCCAGGCCCATTTTTGTGGGACCTAAAGCCAGTCAAGATCGCAATGCCAGATGATATGTCTGCAGGGGGTGATGAAGAAAGTCGAGATTGTAGCTGCATGTTAAAATCCTCTGGTACACATTAAAAGGTGGTAAGGCTTTGATCTTGTAGTTGCAACTACCAGACACCATGAAGGCAGGATAGAAAGCAATGGATGGAAACTAATCAAGGACAGAACCAGCCTAGAACTAAGGAGAAATTTCCTGACAGTTAGAACAATTAAACAGTGGAAAGACTTGCCTCCAGAAGTTGTGGATGCTCCAACACTGCAGGTTTTTAAGAAGAGACTGGACAACCATTTGTCTGAAATGGTATAGGGTTTCCTACTTGAGAGGAGGTTGGACTAGAAGACCTCCAAGCTCCCTTCCAACTCTGCTATTCTATTATCCTAACTATTTTTTACTATCCTTGCAGATATGCTTGCTTCCAGAATTCAGTGGGTATATGATTCTGGACCAAGAAGATGTTTTAGTAGTTACTAAAGTGGTAATGGAAATAGATGCGTTGCCATTTTCCTGGAAAAGTGCATCCAGAACTCAGAAAAACACCCCAAATTAGAATGAGTACAGCCAGATCAATTTTGCAACATCACCTTTGCCTTTTGGAGAACAGTTAAATAAATCAAGTGCTAAATTTCGAAGAAAAGAAGTGCTAAATGTTAGCTACTTCTCGTCTAAAAATATAACATGGAATGGTTTTCACATGGAATAAGAATACTGATAGTTCTGAACTGGTATAATATATTGCATTCTATAGCATATCCCTGTGTAAATTTATAATTGGTCAAAGTGTGAATATACTTTTCAGTGACATTCTATGACTTGAATAAGCTACTTGAAGGGGTGGGAGTGGGAGGCACCATTTTACGGTGGGTCTTCTCCTACCTCTCTGGCCGGTCGCAATCAGTATTGGTGGGAGGGCAGAGGTCAACCCCGAGGTCCCTTGAATCTGGTGTGCTGCAGGGGTCAGTTCTCTCTCCCCTCCTATTTAACATTTATATGAAGCCACTGGGTGAGATCATCAGACAGCACGGGATGAGGTTTCATCAGTATGCTGATGATACCCAGTTATATATCTCCTCCCCGAGCTCTCTCAGTGAAGCGGCTGATGTGATGGGCCGTTGCCTCGAAGCCGTGAGGGTCTGGATGGGGGTTAACAGACTCAGGCTCAATCCTGACAAGACCGAGTAACTTTGGATGTTGCCTCCCAAGGACCATGTCGACTGTCCAGTGTTGACTCTTGCGGGGGAAAATATACCCCCTTCGGAGCGGGTTCGCAACTTGGGTGTCCTCCTTGATCCACAGCTGAATTTGGAACATCATTTGACGGCTGTGGCTGGGAGGACCTTTGCACAAGTTCGTCTGTTGCATCAGTTGCGACCCTACCTGGACCGGGAGGCTCTCCTTACAGTCACTCACGCCCTTGTCACCTCACGTCTGGACTACTGCAATGTGCTCTACATGGGGCTACCCTTGAAAAGTATTCGGAGACTACAGTTGGTCCAGAATGCAGCCGCGTGAGTGATAGTGGGTGCTCCTCAATACACCCACGTTACACCTATCCTCCGTGAGCTGCACTGGTTGCCTATTGGTCTCCGGGTCCAATTCAAGGTGTTGGTTATTATCTTTAAAGCTCTATATGGCTCAGGGCCAGGCTATTTGCGAGACCGCCTACTACCTCATAGTTCCCTTCGTCCGGTTAGATCCCACAGGCTGGGCCTCCTTCAGCTCCCGTTGGCCAAGCAGTGCCATTTGGCGGGGCCGCAGAGGAGGGCTTTCTCTGTGATGGCACCAACCTCTTGGAACCAGCTCCCCCCGGAGATTAGGACCGCTCCCACCCTGTTGGTTTTCCGTAAGCTGCTTAAGACCTGGCTTTTCCGGCAGGCCTGGGGTTTATAAAATCTGACCCCTGGATGACTGTTCTTGTACTGTTTGTTTTGTTATGTTTTATGTGTTTTTATTGTTAGCCGCCCAGAGTCCTCCGGGAGTGGGGCAGCTTATAAATTTAATAAATAAATAAATAAATAAATACTCCAAGCAGCATTACTGATATAGGCCTGATATAAAATATTCAGCATTCTTTATGTTGTGTCCTGAGCCTGCTAAGGCAGGCTCGGGACGTTGCAATGGTCCCGGGCAGTTGCAAGCTGCCTGGGACCAGACTGGCTGGCACCGGCGTCGCACGCATGCGCGAGGCGCAGAGCGTGCCTAATTGTTGCCATTCTGCCCGGGGAACGTTATTAAAAGGAACTGAGAGGCCTGCGAGCCTCAGAGCTGTGACGGAGTGGAAAAAGACTGCAAATAAAGACCTGTTGGAACCACGAGATGGTCTGTGCTCATCTGCCATTAAGCCAAGGACTCAACACTGGCGACGAAGGTGGGATGGCTTACAACAGATAGAGAAGAATTGTAAGCTTACCCAGGAGTCCTGAAGAGAGGAAGACGGCATTAAATTCAGCATCTGCCTGCCAGTACAGTGTCGCTGGAGGTAAGCTGGCTGATAGACCCCTTCCTTACAAAGAAGAAAAATGGCGAAGATAGGGAGACTGTCTGAATTCGATGTCTTGCACCCAGAAAGATGGGAGTCTTATGTGGCCAGGGTAGAAAACTATTTTAGAGTAAATCAAGTAAGAGAAGATGGCTTAAAGGCCACTACTTTGCTGTGTGTCTGTGGTCAAGATGCATTTGAAATTGCTGAAAATTTAGCAGCCCCTCCTCCTCTTGAATCTGTCACTTACACAGATTTAAAAAAATTATTGAAGGAACATTTTCAGCCCAAGTTGGCTGTTATTGCATGGAGACACACTTTTGAACAGAGGGATCAAAGAGCTGGTGAATCAGCTAAAGAATACATTGCAGCCTTGAGAAGAGCAGCTAAGCCTTGTGATTTTAAAGACTTAGAAGAAAGGTTGAGAGACCGATTTGTATGTGGGCTTAGGAACAGAGACTTGCAGCAGAGACTTTTTGCAAAAGAAGACATATCATTCCAAGATGCCTTGAGAGAGGTCACTGCAGAAGAGGCAGCAGGTGGAGCAATCAAGAACATGAGGCCTATCAGGAACAACCCAGAAGCTGTTTCCGTGCACCATGAGGGAGTCCAGGAGATCTCGGAAGAAGATCCTGAAGATGAGGTGGATCATCTCTACCCAGCCAAAGAAAGAAAGCAGAAGGAAGGCAAAGAAAAGTCTTCAGCTGTGCTTCGGGTGTGGAGGTCGCCACAAGAGGAGTGACTGCAGGTTCCGTTCTGCAATCTGTAGAGCATGTGGAAAGCAAGGCCACATAGCAGCTGTGTGTCTGGGCCGTCAGAAGGTACAACCCCGAGAAGAATTGCGACTGAAAGGTACCAGGGTCCCCAGCCAAAACAGGATGGGTTTCTGTGCATCACGAAGAAGCATTTATAGGACAGGCACACACAAGCCACTTAAAAAGAAATTGTCACTTAAGGTGAAGTTGCAAAGAGTTCCATTGGTTATGGAACTAGACACTGGGTTTGCACTTTCAATTATTTCCATTCACACATTCAGAAAGATTTGCTCTAGCAGTGGGTTCCAGGCCAATCTTAGGCCATCCAATATATTTCTAACAGACTTTCAAAATTCCAAGGTGTGTGTTAAGGTAGAGGCCACCCTTAATATACAGTACAAGGATTTTGAAGGTCCATTAGATGTATTGGTAGTTGGGGGTGAGCGCACGAGTCTCATTGGACTCGATTGGTTTGAGGCCTTGGGAATACAAGTTACAGGGCTTCACAGTTTGCAAACATTAGGTCTACAGGAAGTCTGCAAAGAATTTGCAGATGTCTTCAGCTCACAGCTGGGTGCATACAAAGGCCCCCCAGTTTCCTTGAAGCTGCACCCCACTGTCACTCCTATCAGAGTAAAGGCAAGGAGAGTACCCTTTGCTTTGAAAGG